GAGATACTTACATTTCAATGACAATACCCTCTGTCACCGCAGAGATCACACCCAATATGATAGGCTTCATAAAATACACCCACTGGTAGACCATCTTCAGCACAAATTTACTGAAGTTTATACTCCTCAAAAAAATTTATCTATTGATGAATCGTTAATGAAATATAAAGGGAGATTAGGATTCAAACAATACATCCTCTCAAAGCGCTTTAGGTATGGCGTAAAATTCTACAAACTGTGCGAGAGCGAAAGTGGCTATACATTTGCCTTTCGTATATATGAGGGGAAAGATGGTCAACTGGACCCTCCTGGCTGTACTGACTCTCTGGGGACAAGCGGGAAACTTGTTTTTGACTTACTGATCCCCTTGTTCAATAAGGGTTACCACCTTTATGTGGACAATTTTTATAGCATTGTCCGTTTGTTTCAAACTCTTTAGGGTTTCTAGATACTGGCCTGTGGCAGTGTGAGAAGATATGCCAAGGATTTCCCCAGACCTTTTATAGAGGCCAAAAAAAAAAAAAAAGTGAATGTAAAGGTCTGCACAAAGCTAAAGTGCTTGCAATAAAATTTAAGGACAGGAAGGATGTTCACATGCTAACAACCATCCATAACGAGGGCATGTCAGACGTCACTGTCCGAGGCAGGGTACAGACAAAACCGGTGTGCATCAGGGCTTATAACAGGCACATGGGGGGTGTTGATTTGGCTGATCAGCTGATGCAGCCATATCTTATCTTAAGAAAGACAAAAGCCTGGTATAAAAAGGTGGCTATCTACCTGATGCAAGTAGCAACACATAATTAATTTTTACTCTTTAAAAAAAAATGAATTCAGAAAGAACCACCTTTCTCCAATTTTAGTTCAAGCTGATTTCCACAATAATTTATGGAGATGGTCAAGTTCCAACAACGGTGCCAAAGGAGTCCAGACATTTTATTTTTAAGATACCGCCAACTGCAAAAAAAACAACAAATCCCCTGAAATGTTGCTGGGTCTGTTATAAAAAAGGAAAAGGACAGACACCCCTTTGCACTGTTTTTTTTTCTTTTGAAAACAGCAAATTTTAGTTAGTCAGTTTCCTTCCCCCCAAATCTCCAATTAGATTCTTTTTAGTTAGTTTAGAGAATGCTGCTAAAGGTGCATTTGATACCTGCACATTTGGTTAAAAAAGTTTTATGGTAGTAACATATAACTGGCTGGCCAAAACCAGATGACGTGTGCATAAAAAGCAGAATTAAAAAATTACCACCATGCACGTTCTCTGAAATTTGTTTAGCACAATGGTTGGGGGAAGGATGTGAAAACACCTCATATACAATACTCTGGAATGTCTACTTTATAAAAATATAAACTTTCATGATGTTAACATTAACGGGGGGATGCAAAAATATGCCAAACTGAAGATAGGCCAAGCATACCTATATATCAAGTTGAAAAACTGATATGTACAAGTCTTGAATGTGGCCTTTTAGCCCCCAAACAACCCAGCAAACCTATGCATGGGTGATGTCACTGTACTCAGGAGATGTTGCTGAACACATATTGGGGTGTTGTTTGGCAGTGATACATAACAGGATCTGTTAATTCATGCCTAAAGTACAATGTATGTGTAAAAAAACATGAAGAAAATTACTACCCAAAAGTTTGCCAAAGGCTGGTGGTAGAATTATTGCATGAAAAGTATTAAACTACCACCATTTAAAATACCCTGAGTTGTCTACTTTTCAAAAATATATGGTTTGATGGGGGTAAAATACATTGGCCCAAATAGGACAGGGGCGCTGGTTTACTACATGTCAAAATTCCAAGTTGAAAAATGGATATGCGCACCTGCCAAATGTGGCCTTTTAGCCCCCAAACAATCCGACAAGCCTATGCATGGGTGGTATCACTGTACTCAGGAGATGTTGCTGAACACATATTGGCGTGTTGTTTGGCAGTGACACATAACACGATTTGTTAATTCATGCCTAAAGTACAATGTGTGTGAAAAAAAACACACAAAAAATGACTACCTAAATGTTTGACAAAGTCTGGTGGTAGAATTAGTGCATGGAAAGTGTTAAAAAACCACCATTTGAAATACCCTAGGGTGTCTACTTTCCAAAAATATATGGTTTGGTGGGGGTAAAATACATTGGCCGGCCTTACAAATGTCCCAAATAGGACATGTGCGCAGGTTGACTACATGTCAAAATTCCAAGTTGAAAAATGGATATGCGCACCTGCCAAATGTGGCCTTTTAGCCCCCAAACAATCCGACAAGCCTATGCATGGGTGGTATCACTGTACTCAGGAGATGTTGCTGAACACATATTGGCGTGTTGTTTGGCAGTGACACATAACACGATTTGTTAATTCATGCCTAAAGTACAATGTGTGTGAAAAAAAACACACAAAAATGACTACCTAAATGTTTGACAATGTCTGGTGGTAGAATTAGTGCATGGAAAGTGTTAAAAAACCACCATTTGAAATACCCTAGGGTGTCTACTTTCCAAAAATATATGGTTTGGTGGGGGTAAAATACATTGGCCGGCCTTACAAATGTCCCAAATAGGAACACATATTGGCGTGTTGTTTGGCAGCAAGACATAACAGGATCTGTAAGTTTATACCTGAATTGCAATGTATGTGAAAAAAACAAAAAAAAACAACTATCTATGCAAAGTTTGGCAAAGACTTGTGGTAAAATGGCTGCATAGAAAGTGTCAAAATATCCTTAGATGAATACCCTGGGTTGTCTACTTTAAAAAAAATATATACATGTGGAGTGTTTTCCAGAGATTTATGACAGATAATAGTGTTACAATGTCACTATTGATACATTTAAAAAAATTTTGTTTTGAAACCGCCATATCCTACTTGTACCTATAGCCCTATAACTTGCAAAAAAAAGCAAAAAAGCACGTAAACACTGGGTATTTTTAAACTCAGGACAAAATTTTGAATCTATTTAGCAGTTTTTTTCATTCGCTTTTGTAGATGAGTAAAAGATTTTTCAAGTAAAAGTCAAAAAACATGTATTTTTTTCAATTTTTCATCATATTTTTTTATTTTTTTAAAATTAAAATACATGAGATTATATAAATAATGGTATGTAAAGAAAGCCCCTTTTGTCCTGAAAAAAACAATATATAATTTGTATGGGAACAGTAAATGAGAGAGCGGAAAATAATAGCTAAACACAAACACCAGAAAAGTGTAAAAATATTCCTGGTTGCAAATGTACAACATCGCAAAAACAGTCCAGTCCTTAAGGGGTTAAAAAAGTCAATGTCTTTATCTTTGTACTCTGCGTGGTTTTGCTCAAAGTGATGATGTAATTTAGCAGGTGCTAATGAACTGTTTGGCAATATTTTATTGCAAAGTACACATTGTGCTTCAGGACAGTCTTCATTTCTGGCACTTCTGAATCTTTTTTTTGTTGACTTGTCACTTGTCTCTGCTATTTCAGGAATAGTAGATACAACTATTTCAGGCACGTTTTCTGGATTTTTACTTGTATCTTCTTTATCAGTTTCTATAAGTGCCGAACAAGTAGAAGTAGTAATAATTTTTCTCTGAAGAGTTCCCTGCATTAACCAGCTTTCCAAATTCATGGTAGTTTATTGGTAAAAAACAAACAAACAAAAGATTTGAACACTTTGAAAAAATACAGATCTCACAACCTGACTGAAAAGGATGCTGATTTTGATAACACTCTTGGAAAGAGCTGAACTTATGCAGGATTTTTGAGTTAGACGTGGAGCAAAAAGATTTGAAGACTTTAAAAAATATATATAGTTAAAGGACCACTGTAGGCACCCAGACCACTTCAGTGTGGTCTGGGTGCCAGGTCCAGATAGGATTAACCCTTTTTTCTGTAAACTGCTATGTTTACCTATGGGTTAATCCAGCCTCTAGTGGCTGTGTCATTGACAGCCGCTAGAGAGCTTCCGCGCTTCTCACTGTGATTTTCACAGTGAGAAGACGCTTGCGTCCATAGGAAAGCATTGTGAATTCTTTCCTGTGGACTGGCTGAATGCGTGCGCGGCTCCTGCCGTGCATGCGCATTCAGCCGAAGAGGAGGAGGAGAGCTCCCCACCCGGCGCTGGAGAAAGAGGTAAGTTTAACCCCTTCCTCCACCTAGAGCCCGGCGGGAGGGTGTCCCTGAGGGTGGGGGCACCCTCAGGGCACTATAGTGCCAGGAAAACGAGTAAGTTTTCCTGGCACTATAGTGGTCCTTTAACAGTTTTTTTTCAATGCCCCGACAGAGCCTTTTGAGATCCCTAGCAGAGAATTCCAATGCCTCTCAAAGAGTATTTCAGTGCCCTACCTAACAGAGCTTTCTGTTTCCCTACTTAATAGAGCTTTCTATCTGACAATAACAGAGCTTTAATTATCAGCTCAACTCTCTATCACTCCTCTACCACGAGACAGTGACAAGATGTTAGAAATGGAACATATTGCTTTTCATACAAGTTTCTTTAAGCAATAACTTCTTACTTACCTTCAGTGCATATTATGTTTATGCCATTTTGTCCCAGACAAATTCCAATAACAATAATGCATAAACAAGCTCCAAGGCTATGCTACGACTCTTTCAGTACATCATATACTGTGGGAACCCTAAGTAGATAAAGATGTTCAGACTTTAAGATGCCATCTTGAACTAAGTCAGGAAACTTCCCCATGACGTGTGCAACCTTAAGTTTTTACAATCCAATTCTCCCCAAGAACGAGACGACACTTAGTTTGAGGATCAAGCAGAACTGATTTACTGAGGCTACCTGCCCGGCTTTTATGCAGGTCTCCCACCTGGTGGACACTCCCCTAGGGGACCAGATGGGAAACTGGGACACAAAGGGTAAAAGGGCAAATCACAAGCTTACACATTTAAACAGATCCCACAATGCATTGCAATCCCTCCGTTCTGTCCTGGAGATAATTGGGAAGTAATCCAAAACTCCATTAGCCACATGTTGGTAAAAAGACACAAAATTACAGTGTTACAATTACTACATAAAACATATATATTCAACATATCCCCAGATAGCCTAGATCTGAGCTCACATTATTACCGAATGGCGCCCAGATCACATACATACAGTTCAATCGCCATTGAGCCAAAGTCATAGGGAAAATAAAAGGTTTTTAATGCAGGGCCGTGGTCCAGCGGCAAGAGGTGGGCAACCAGGCTCCTCCAGTGGCCAGTGGTGAGGCTGGTTCCGCCACACCTTATTTTATATTGTATTCTCAATTATTTATATATTTTAAATAGAGGATCTCTTACACACTATATAAAATTATGGCTAAGATATGTGTATGGTTAGCCCTGCTAAGTTCGGTGCATTAAGACGTTATAGTGGTAAATAAGGGAACCAGCTGCGGTTACATACTCCGTGCTTAGTAAGGCTCTGTCTCCTTGCGTCTTCTGTCGTCTTATGAAAACTAGTGCCTGTTAGTATAGCGCCTCACGTTTCCATTTCAGATTTTCACTTCAGCATCTTCCAACCTCTATCCTGTCTTGAATCTTTAGCCACCTGAATCAGCCTTATGTTTCCCTGATTCCAAGTTTTCTATTTTGGCGTCCTCCAACCTCTATCACTTCTCGCATCACCAACCGTCCATATCAGCCACATGAGCTGGCAGATGCATTAACTGACGGCATCTGTCTGCGTCCTTAGTGCATCCTTCGTTCTTACAGTCGACGGAACCCGGCAAAAATCACAAGACGCAAGACACATGCGTCCTAAGTCATCGCGTCCCCAGCCCTCCCCAGATAGATGCAATTTCAACAGATTTACAACAGAACACTTCGCTTTGAAATCAGCTGGGTATTTCTTAACACAGAACTTGCACAGTCTTGAAAATTCCTTTACACAGAACACGTCACATCATCCCAGCACCGCTTACAGCAATAAAAAACTTTGACCGTTTAAAACACACTGAGTTAACTCACTCACTGCTGGCTACAATTCTCACAGGAAAAATACCTTCAGTATTGCAATTATAAATACAGATCAGTTAACCATTTCTTCTCGTTCAATAACCAATAAGAATAATTCTAACCAGATTTTACATTTGCAGAAGATTCACCTTTCCTGATTAAAGATTAATATCCCTAAATTCAGATAAGTCAATATCTCTGTATAAGAGCTTCATATGCTAAACTTGGCAAATTACCAGTAAATATATTATGCACTTATTCCTTCTGCAGTAAGGAATATGGAACAGTATATTTCATTAGCTAATTATGATTTCATAATAATTGAAATCTGACCAGCCTTTGTCCAGATAAATCTCTGTTTTTAGTAAAAAATAAATTAATTTAAATTAAATAAAACCAGCATATTTACCAGCTTTCTTGGTAGAATTTATTTTAGGCTTGGAGATATATTCCTATGAATTGTGAATGCAAGTATGAGTAAAGAATTGTGAAAATAGGAAAGTGTTTTTTTATTTTATTTTATTTTTTTAGAGTTTTGATTAAGAATTCAAAGTTTCAGTTGTGGTGTTAGATTTTCAAGAGTCCCAGAATTCGTTAGAAAAGATAGTGTTAGGTGTGTCCTTATTTCCTGCTCCAGATCTCAGACCTCCCGCTTCAGCTATCCTCAATTTTTAAAGGACCAGCTTCCCTATATTTTCTTTACGTCACTTGTTTAACCCCTTAAGGACACATGACATGTGTGACATGTCATGATTCCCTTTTATTCCAGAAGTTTGGTCCTTAAGGGGTTAAAGTGCCCAATAGAGTCAGATGGGTGTGTCTGCCCTACAGGTTATCATCTAGACTTTGGTCAATAGATGGCTTAGCCAAGAGGAAAAAACTCACAGGCACTCCAACTTCAAGCCGCAGGCAGATTTATTATAACAGAATGTAACGCAACGTTTCGACCGGAAAGGTCTTTTTCAAGCTTGAAAAAGACCTTTCCGGTCGAAACGTTGCGTTACATTCTGTTATAATAAATCTGCCTGCGGCTTGAAGTTGGAGTGCCTGTGAGTTTTTTCCTCTTGGATTATTGTACTGGGATTGCTGGTCCTGCTCTGGAGCACCCTTGGCCGTTGGGACTGGGTGCGGTTCTCATCACTTACTCTGCTCAATAGATGGCTTAGCAACACCACAGGAGATTCTCATCAGGAAGTCCAACTACCACTTTGTATAAGAGTTTAACTGAATTTCGTGATGCAGTTGACGTCATTTGTCTTATCTATTATGGTACCTTTTATAAAAGATATGTCAATTCTTCAAAGGGTTTTGGTTCTTTTTAGCAGACAGATCGTCTACTCTTTGGGCCATAAAAAATAGATTTTAACATGTCTAGCCTTTATTTCACCTTCTTTAATAATGAACCTCTGTATCAATTCTTTAAATTTAAAAAGCAAAATTAATTACTTTTAGTGTTATCTGTTTTTGGAATCCTGTGTCTGGTTTGTGTGTGAAACTATGTAGTAATGTAACAGCATGTGATATATACATGTCTTTTAAACACATTCAGCTAATGTTAGTTCAATAATAATGAATTTTTTCTTTACCGGTATTCTATCCATGAATATTCAATATTATTAACATAGTATTATTTAAATATGATAAAACATAAGTATAATTAGTCTATATGGATATATACAGAGATATAAATGTGTCTGGGCCGGGCTCTTTTTCTATAAATATAGTTACAGAAAAAGGAAATGTGTCTGTCTTTGCATTTTTGTTACAAAATGGAGTCACATCTACTTAATGTTGACTTACAGTATACTTTTATAATTTCTATCTTAAAAGGATACTTCTGCCCATTGGAGTGGTCTGGGTGCCAACTCCCACTACTCTTAACCCTGCAACTGTAATTATTGCAGTTTTCATAAACTGCAATAATTACCTTGCAGGGTTAAGTCCACTAGGGGAGGACTTAACTAGAGGTCACTTCCTGATTCATAGCACAGGGTTTCTGTGCTAGAGCGTGACTGGATGTCCTCACGCTGTGTGAGGACCTCCAGTGTCGCTCGGTTCCCCAATTCTTTCCTATGGAGAGCTCAATGACACGCACGCGCATTAGGTCTCCTCAGCCAGCGGGCGGGATCAGTCTCACCCGCCGGCTGACGTAATGAAGGGGAGGAGAGGCGGCGGAGGAAGAAGCAGCGACGTGGGACATGTCGCTGCCTCTGGTAAGTGACTGAAGGGATTTTCATCCCTTCAGCAACTGGGGATGGGAGGTGGGAGGGAGAGGGGACCTGCAGTGCCAGGAAAACGGATTGTTTTCCTGGCACTGGAGAGTCCCTTTAACACGAAAATGTCTGCCAGTCGCGATACACTGACACTGATAATATTATCTGTGAAAGGGCAGTTTATTTGTTGAAAATTAAAAATAAAAATATATATAAATAAACGCTAATTTTGGCCAGGGTTTGTGGCTACAAAATAAGACTGGACATACCCCATTTGAATACCGTTGGTTGTCTACTTTAACAAATAGTATGCCATGATGGGGTTAATTTCCATTCCTGGGCAACATAGGCCCAGAAAACCAATCTGACAAATTTCAATGTGCAAACATGGGAAAGGGGAAAGCCCTGCATGTGACTCCTGTAAGTTTGCAAAAGCCCATAAAACCTGTATATTGTGGGCACTGTTGTACTCGGAAGATGTTGCTGAACACATATTGGGGGTTTCTTTGTCAGTTAAAATGTCATGCAGAATTTCTTAATTTCTCATACTCTTCTAGATTTTATTCATATTAATTTCTGTTTCATATATAAATGTTGTATAAAATTAAAGCCCTGTTTCTCCTGAACAAAATTATATATAATAAGTGTAAGTACACTTAATATGAAAGAGGTAAATTATGGTTGAACTACATGTAGCGCACATTGCAGGTGTTGTTTACTTTTTTTTTTAAATCACAACTTGTACAATTGGCTCAGTCCTTCAGGGGTTATAGTAAAAATAATATAGTTACAGTTGGAAATGAAGCAGTTCTGTCGGCTGGTTTGTGGAATGAGGTCTGATAGTTACAGGAGAGGTGGAAATGAAGCGGTCCTGTCGGCGGTTTTGTGGAATGAGGTCTGATAGTTACAGGAGAGGTGGAAATGAAGCGGTTCTGTTGGCTGGTTTGTGGAATGAGGTCTGGTAGTTACAGGAGAGGTGGAAATAAAGCGGTTCTGTCGGCTGGTTTGTGGAATAAGGTCTGATAGTTACAGGAGAGGTGGAAATGAAGCGGTTCTGTCGGCGGTTTTGTGGAATAAGGTCTGATAGTTACAGGAGAGGTGGAAATGAAGCGGTTCTGTCGGCGGTTTTGTGGAATAAGGTCTGATAGTTACAGGAGAGGTGGAAATGAAGCGGTTCTGTCGGCGGTTTTGTGGAATGAGGTCTGATAGTTACAGGAGAGGTGGAAATGAAGCGGTTCTGTCGGCGGTTTTGTGGAATAAGGTCTGATAGTTACAGGAGAGGTGGAAATGAAGCGGTTCTGTCGGCGGTTTTGTGGAATAAGGTCTGATAGTTACAGGAGAGGTGGAAATGAAGCGGTTCTGTCGGCGGTTTTGTGGAATGAGGTCTGATAGTTACAGGAGAGGTGGTTCTGTTTCTGTTAGCTGGTGGGTTGAATTAGGCCTTAAATTAAGTATATGAATTTATACGCTCAAACACACACAAACTAATATATACTTTTTTCCAGAAAGTGAACATGGGCAATGAAAGGAATCTGATGGCTGACAAGATAATAAATCTAACTTTGGAGATCATCTATCTTCTAACTGGAGAGGTGAGATGTCGGTATAATATCTGTGTGATCACAAGAAGTATGCAAAGCAAGCAGAACACAAATAGCAAATAAAGTGGGAAAAAATGTATAAATACATACTCTGACTTATGCTTGTTCGGATTCACATGCGTTATGTGTTTGGAGACCATAGAAATGATGTCACAAAAACTAAACTAATACACCACAAACATTACTATTAAATACACTCACAGCATCCTATGCAGGAAGCAAAGAAACTCATGTTAAGTCTGCAACTCCCAGAGGTTAACAGTCCTAAAATGCCTTAGTCACAACTCCCAGGGGCTCTCGGAATCCTCATGCACCAAACATTGGTAAGTTCTCCACTCAGTGCTCTGTGCATTTTGCCTGCTGGCTGTACAGACTTCCTTGAATGCGACTTTTAACTTGTCGTCATCTCAATCAGTTTAAATTCTTAAAGAATACTATCTCACTACAGCCGCACACACTCGCTGGAGGTGTCCCAAGAAGTGCCATCATTATGTCCAGACATTAGAACGAACCCTGTTCCGGACACGTGCAACCGGAGAACAGCGCCATACAACAGACTTTATATCCACAATAACTTGTTAACAGAGCAGAATTTCTCAAAGCCCATCCCCACTGAAATAAGATATGTGAATAGAAAACTCTTAATCCCGCCACATTTCCACAAACACAACTTATCATCACACATTAACATGAAAACATACTGCAAAAATCACAATCACATATTTGTCTTAATATCTACTAATGATAGTCCAATAATTATCAACTTCAACTAAACATAAATATATACATATCTCTTTGAAAAACACTATACATGTATATTAGAATGGGCTGGGCTAAAATCCTTAAAAAGACCACTTTAGTAGATTGAGCATCTAAATCAGGGGTACTCAACCTGGTCCCTACCGCCCACTAGTGGACAGTTTGGGATTTGTGGTGGGTTCTGAAGAAAACCCCAAGTGGGCTTTGATGGCTGTAGACCAAGGCCAGCAGGGGAGATCCTTTAATTTCCCCTGCTGGCCCATGCAGAGCCAGCCTTGCTGTAATCCCTCTGGGGCTCGTGAGGAGATCTCTCACACATGCCTTGCACCTGTCACACATGCCCTGCCCCCCTCAAACACGCAGTGCAGCAGCCCTCACACACGCGCAGCAGCCCTTCACACGTAGCAGCCTTCTCACACATACACAGCACCTCACAGACACACATAGAAAAAAGAAAAAATAGATACATTTAAGTACATATTTAACCCCTTAAGGACACCCAGTCATGTGTCCTTAAGGGGTTAAAAAAAAAAAAAAAAAAAACTCCATAAAAAAAATCCTTTCAAAAAATAAAATTACAAAAAAATTGCACTTGTGCTGCAAATTTAGTTACTGTGGCACTGGTGGACGGTAAGGAAATTTTAACATCCGCAAAGATTGAAAAGTGGGCAGTAAGTATTAAAAGGTTGAATACCCCTGGCCTAGATGAATATGGAAAGATAATACATTTAAAAAGCAAGAGTATCCAGTTCTGTATTTAAACCATGAAGAGTTACATGAAAGCTGAAAAGAGACTTGCATCCATCAAGTTCAGCTTTCCTCACATTTGTTTTTTGCTGTTGATCCAAAAGAAGGCAAAAAACCCAGTTTGAAGCACAATTTTGCAACAAGCTAGGAAAAAAAAATCCTTCTTGACCCCAGAATGGCAGTCACATTAATCCTTGGATCAAGCAGTTATTACCCTACATTGAAAGATTATATCCTTGAATATTCTGTTTTTGCAAGTATGCATCTAGTAGCTTTTTGAACATCTGTATGGACCCTGATAAAACCACTTCTTCAGGCAGAGAATTCCACATCCTTAATGTTCTTACAGTAAAATAAACCTTTCCTTTGCCTTAGATGAAATCTTCTTTCTTCCAGTCTAAATGCATGACCTCGTGTCCTATGTAAAGTCCGGTTTGTGAATAGATTTCCACACAATGGTTTGTATTGGCCCCGAATATATTTGTATAATGTTATCATATCCCCTCTCAGGCAACGTTTTTCTAAACTAAATAGGTTTAAATGTGTTAACCTTTCTTCATAGCTGATATGTTCCATTCCTTTTATTAATTTTGTAGCCCGCCTCTGCACTTTTTCTAGTGCCATAACATCCTTCTTTAGAACATGTGCCCAAAATTGCACAGCATATTCAATATGTGGTCTTACCAGTGATTTATAAAGAGGCAAAATGATATTCTCATCCCGAGAATGAATGTCCTTTTTCATACATGACAATACCTTACTGGCCTTGGCCACTGCTGATTGACATTGCACATTGTTGCATAGTTTGTTGTCTAGAACAATTCCCAAGTCCTTTTCGTGTGTTGTTATCCCTAATTCGCTTCCATTACGGGTATAGGTTGCTTGTGTATTTTTTAAATTGGAATAAGGGGGGGGACCTAACGTCCTCCCCCCTGGCCCCCACCCCTGAGATGTGGGTGGGGGCCCTAAATACTAATAAGGGGGGGTGAATCTAATGTCCTCCCCCCTAGCCCCCACCCCTGAGCTAGGGGGGAGGACATTAGGTGGGGGCCCTAAATACTAATAAGGGGCGGGGCCTAACATCCTCCCCCCTGGCTCTCACCCCTGAGCGGCGGGTGGGGGCCCTAAATACCAATGGGGGGGGCCTATTGTAATTCCCCCCGGCCCCCTCCCCTGAGCGGCGGGTGGGGGCCCTAATTGGAATAGGGGGGCGAACCTAATGTCATCCGCCGTTCAGGGGTGGGGGCCCTAAATACCAATGGGGGGGAGACCTACTGTCCTCACCCCCGGCCCCCACCCCTGAGCGGCGGGTGGGTGCCCTAAAAAAAAATGTGTCGAACACTTAGACCCATACACTCGTTCACCCTGGTCTCGCCAAACCGACCCCCAGGCCACGCAAGACACCCGCCTAACTTGTAACTGGCTAGGTTGATAAGCCCAGTTTAGCCCCATTCCCCCACAACCTCGTGACAGCAACCCGGAGCGCCGACTGGTCCGGGAAGGCCGGGCCCACTCGCACCCACCCTTCGCCCCCGCCCTCCCCCTCCCTATATCCCGTACCCTCCCGCCCACAGAACCTCCTATACGCGACCCAACTGGGCAGCAGCCCAATTGGTACCGAGCTAGCCGCACACAGAGGCGGAGCCCCCACCCCGCTCAGTACAAACACGACTAACATCACCGCAACATGGCACCACAGACCCTCCAACTACAACTCACCTCTCTCAACACGAAAGGCCTTAATTCACCGGGCAAACGCCACAGCATCTTACGCTGGGCAAACCGCACGGGAGCGGATATAATCCTGCTCCAGGAAACTCATTTTACAGATCAGAAAGACTTCCCTCTGACCAACCAAAACTTTAAACGTTATTATCTGGCCAACTCACCGGATCCGAAGACGAAAGGAGTAGCAATCTTACTCCGCAACTCATGCCCCCTAGAGGAGTTATCAATTCAAAAGGATCCTGCTGGTCAATTCCTCTTCTTGACAGGACACGTGGGCATGACAACACTCTCAATTTGCTCGCTATACGCCCCATCAATCCCAGACACCACCTTCTGGGAGAATTTTAGAGCCCACCTCGCAGGCCTCACCGCCAAACACATAATCATAGGGGGAGACTGTAATGCAACACAATCCACTGTCGCTGACCGGAGAGCACGCGACGGAAGCAGACCGGCTGCAACGCGTAACGACAAGCTATTCACCGCATTCCTAAAAGACACACCATTCATAGACGTATGGAGGGCACAGCACCCGTCCGCCAGAGATTTTACCTTTTACTCCCATACACACTGCTCATACTCCAGAATCGACCGATTCCTCATCTCACACACGGTCCAGCCCTGGACCACCCTCACAAAGATTGGCAATATAGCATGGTCTGATCACGCAGAGATCACCATGACCATTCAAATACCCAATCTATTACGACCATGGCGATGGCGCCTAAACCCATGGATACTGAGGGACAAAGGCACAATCCGAACACTGACGGAGGACATCCGCAATTGTTTTGATACTAACACCACCGAAGATATCGCCCCAGCAATGGTCTGGGCCGCCCATAAAGCGACCATCAGAGGCAACTTAATAGCCATAGCCACAGACCTCAAAAAACGCCGCCTACAAAGCCTAACAGGAGCACTAGCGGAACTGACCAGGCTGGAGGCAATCCACAAGCAAACGCAGACGACGGACCTTCTGGCCCAATTAACAGCCACGAGAGACCTGATAAAATCTCTCTCAGCGGCAGACGTGGCGAGGAACCTCATGTGGACAAAACAGAGGTTCTCTGAGAAAGGAAATAAAGTGGACTGGCTACTAGCACATTGTCTCAGGAAGCAGCAGGAAGCCAAGAAAATATCCAAAATCCGCACAAGAACCAGTGAAATCACCAAGCAGCCAGAACAAATCGCGCAAGAATTTCTGCGCTACTATACTGAATTGTACAATCACGCTACACCGTTGCCTCTGGAGTCCACGAAGCCGCAGACGCTAGTTCAGACCTTCCTAGAACACCTTAACCTCCCCTCCCTCCCCTCTAAAGCCAAAGACACTCTAGCGGCACCCATGGAAGCAGAGGAGCTGGCACTGGTCTTCAAAACACTAAAACCACTGAAAAGCCCCGGACCAGACGGCTTCACAGCACTCTACTATAAAACCTTCCAGGCACACCTCATCCCACAGCTCTGCAAAATCTTCAATTCACTGCTCCAAGGTCATCCACTTCCTCCAGAAATGCTCATGGCCGACATATGCCTCCTGCCGAAACCAGGAAAGGAACACTTAGACCCAGGCCACTACAGACCGATCTCTCTACTAAATACGGATCTGAAAATAATTACTAAAGCACTGGCCAACCGCCTAAACCCATTCCTCCATAACCTAATACACCCGGATCAAGTGGGCTTAATTCCACACCGGCAAGCAGCAGATAATATCAGACGAGCCTTCGACACGATATGGTACGCCCAAAATCGACGCATTCCCTCCGTAGTTCTGTCACTGGACGCAGAGAAGGCGTTCGATCATCTTCTATGGCCCTACCTATACAAAGTGCTCGAGCACCTGGGGTTCCCTCCCGAGTTCCTTCGCATCCTGGCTGCAATCTTCACCAGGCCCACCGGGCGGCTTCTCTTGCCCAACATGGAAGCCCAAACATTCCAGATAGCAAACGGAACCAGACAGGGCTGTCCCCTTTCACCCTTATTATTCGCCATATCACTTGAACCACTACTACAGGCCGTACGCCTTAACCCAAACATCTAGGGCATTCAGATCCGGCGGGAAACCTACACGGTAGCGGCATATGCGGACGACGTCCTACTAACCCTAACAGACCCCATTCAATCGTTGCACACCACGCTGACACTGGTTAATGATTATGCCACCTTCTCAGGATATAAGATCAACCTGGCAAAGTCCATACTAATGCCTATGGCCATGGACCAGCGACAGATTGCGCTACTCCGCAACCTATTCCCCTTCCAAATCACCACCACCTCCCTCACATATCTGGGAATCCAACTATCCCCCCGACCCACGGATCTCTATGATCTCAACTACAAACCACTGTTGGAAACAGCCCTCATAGACCTCTGGCGCTGGGAAGTTCTGGGAATATTGTGGCTTGGAAGGATTACCACGATCAAGATGAACCTACTCCCCAGATTCCTGTATCTCTTTCAGACGCTGCCGATACCAATTCTAAAGGCAGACTTCAAACACTTACAAGCCTCCGTGGACAAATTCATATGGAAAGCCAAAAAGCCGAGGATAAGCAAGGCCACTATGTATGTTCCCAGACCTAGGGGGGGACTTCCCAACTTTCAACATTATCACCACGCAGCCCAGCTGGCGCATCTGCAACAGTGGCACGCCACCGGGGACAAAAAGATGGGTGGACCTGGAACATGACATCCTGGGCTGGGAACTACCGTCTTCCTACCTATGGGTGCCACCAACACAGCGACCCCTACCACCGCCCACCTCACCGGCAATAACCCACACACTGACCCTATGGGACAAACTCAACCTTAAATTTGACCTGTCCTCGTTTTTATCACCGGTTACCCCAATATCCCGGAATAAACTTTTCCCTCCGGGACTAACGGCCAAACACTTCCACTCCTTTGACCAAAGGGACATTTCAAGATTGCTTCATCTCTACCACCAAGGCGAAATAATTAGATTCACTGACCTCCCGAACGCAGAGGGCCTGACCACCACGGACTTCTTCCGATATCTACAACTGAGGGACCTAGCACAACAACCCATGATAAAACAAGCGGGTACATCTCCACCAACACCATTCAAAAAGCAGTGCTTCGATGCACCAACACGTCCGGGACAAATTTCTGACATCTACATAGCCCTAACGACCCACACCTCGCAGGTTAATCTCACCTATATAGCAGCATGGGAACGTGACCTCGGACCACTGGAGGACCCCGGAGATTGGGTAGACATCTGGGAGGCAACAAACACACTGACGGTATGTGTCACACATAAAGAGCAGGCATACAAGACCCTATTCCGCTGGTACATGACACCACGAAAACTCCACAAAATGGGAAAACTGCCCAACGATCAGTGCTGGAAACTATGCGGAGAGCCCGGGACATTCCTCCACTGTTGGTGGCAATGCCCCAAACTCAAACCACTCTGGACTAGGGTAATACAACTTATGGAACTAATTATAGACAAACCAATCGACGTGCAACCATGGACCATGCTCCTAAACAAACCAGTGGAATCCCTCACGCGGAGTGAAAACAAACTAGCGACCCGCATAACTTTAGCAGCAAGGAGAGCAATAGCAGAACTATGGGCTGACAAACGCATCCCCACAATTTCCACAATCATACGCAAAATCAAAGAGACGCGAGATCTAGATGAATTGACAGCACAGATACACGACACATACAAAGCCTTCCACAGGATGTGGGACCTCTGGGACACTAACTACTCAAACCTAAACATACACATAAACACTCCATGAACGGAGGGATTTTTAACATACACTAACACAGGGAACACAGCCCAGGGAACCACACACCCATGCGCAAAACCACCACGCTCACAACAAAGGACACATCTGACCCCCCCAGCCCAACGTTAACAAGCCCACTTTTCTTCTGCCCCCCCACCTTACCCCTATTGACCCGGTGAGTGGGCCCGGCCGACCGGGACGTGGGGGCGCGACGGGACTGAAATACCCCGAACGGCCCATCCAAAACCAAGAAAACCCACCAAGACCTGAGGCGAAGAGGAGGAGAGAGAACACTAGGATCCCAGACCAGACACACAAGCCAAACCCCCAACAAAACCCAACCCAATGAACCAGGAAAGGGACACCTAAGAGCTCCATGGCACAACGACCAAAAATGACGCAAGATACCCGCACAAACAAAAGGGAAAATCCACCATACACGAGCTAAAGGGACAGGCCTACATTTTCCGAATAGAGAAGGGAACGCCCACAGCAAACCCTACAGCACACCCAGATACCCCCAAAGGTGAGGGCTACCGGGGTCTACCCCACACCTTTCCATACAACCCAAAATCCAGACACTGACGAAGGCAAGCCGACATCGAACAAACCCCAACCCCACCCCAGAGAACAGAACCCTACAACCCACACCCTCCCCCTCCACCACACGCCCCAAGAGCATAATACAGACACCTAACACTGATGCGCAGGCAAAACCCACACATGCTCCCACCCTTGACTAACCGAGATACATGACGAAGGCCACCGACAGCCTATACGAAAGAAACAGAATGAGCAAAGCCACAATGCACGGGGATCTCGGCTATAACAGCACAGAGCTCCGCACACACCCCATCAAACACCACCTCCCTTCTCTCCCCCCTTCCCCTCTCTCTTCCGTACCCCCCTCGGTCTACATTAACGACCAACAAAAAGCCATGAACCAAAGAGTCACACTAATAAACCCCCCCCCCAGGCCCCACCAAAGACCCTTCACCTTTAAAACGCACCACACAGCAGGTGCAGTGAGTACTCCAATATGCTTCCCCAATGTTAACCTCTGATAACTGTGAAAATCCCCAAAGATGCTACCAATGTATAACGAAACGCGACTTATAGCTAGCTCTGATATGTACTCACCGAATAGACTATTGTATGCTATGCGTTGTACTTGAGACTGCATGACTTCTCACCCTTAACCTTTTCCTTTCTGTACCCACCCCGCGACATAAATTTATAAAAAATTAAAAAAAACATAGCAGGGGATAAGAAAATCTTAATTAAACAGAACTTGCAATAAAGAAAGCCTAAATAGGGCTCTCTTTACAGGACGTGTTTATGAAAGGCTGTGCTTGTCACATGCAGGGAGGTGTGACTAGGGTTCATAAACAAAGGGATTTAACTCCTAAATGGCAGAGGACTGAGCAGTGAGGCTGCAGAGGCATGTTCTATACACCAAAACTGCTTCATTAAGCTAAAGTTGTTCAGGTGACTATAGTGTCCCTTTAAGTATGAGCGGCGGATGACATTAGGTCCCCCCCCCCGTTCCAATTTAGGGCCCCCACCCACCGTTCAGGGGGGAGGACATTAGGTCCCCCCCCCTTATTAGTATTTAGGGCCCCCACCCACCTCTCAGGGGTGGGGGCCAGGGGGAGGACCCTAGGTCCCCCCCTTATTAGTATTTAGGGCCCCCATCAGCCGCTTAGGGGTGGGGGTCCGGGGGGAGGACATTAGGTCCCACCCTCCTTATTAGTAATTAGGGCCCCCACCCACCACTAAGGGGTGGGGGCCAGGGGCGGGAGGACATTAGGTCCCCCCCCTTATTCCAATTTAGGGCCGCCGCTCAGGGTTGGGGGCCAGGGCCAGGGTGGAGGACATTAGGTCTCCCCCTTTATTAGTATTTAGGGCCCTAACCCACTGCTCAGGTGTGCTGGCCAGGTCCCCCCCCCCATTTTACTGTAAGGCCCACACCCGCCGCTCAGGGGGGACGACATTAGGTTCCCCCACTTACTAGTATTTAGGGCCCCCACCCTCCGCTCAGGGGTGGGGGCCGGGGGGGGACAATAGGTGTCCCCCCATCATTTTACTTTAGGGCCCCCATCCGCCCTTTCGGCTCGGGAGGGGGGACCCTATTTTTTTTTTATTTATTTTTTTTAACAGTGAGCAGCCACAGGCTGCTCACTGTTTACCATAGAAACACCAGACATGCCCCTACTCGTGGTATAGCGAGTAGAGGCAAAATGTACTAATACTAAGTAATTTTTAGGGTGGGGGCCCTAAATACTAATAAGGGGGAGACCTAAGGTCCTCCCCCCTGGTTCCCACCCCTGAGAGGTGGGTGGGGCGCCTTAATACTAATGAGGGGGGCCTAATGTCCTCCCATCTGGCCCCCACCCCTTTGCTGAGCTACTAGTCCCTCTGTCCCAATTTATGTCGGGGTAATTAAAATCTCCAATAATTAAAGTGTTACCCAGATTTGCAGTTTTCTCAATTTGCTCAAACAGCTTTTGTTCCTCGTCAATAGGTTTATAACATATCCCAACCAATAGTTGGTTTCCCCTCTTTTCCACCAAGCCGATATTTACCCGTAAAGCTTACACATTTTCCTCATCGCATTCGACTTGCTTAAGACTTGGCTTTAAATCATGGTTGACATACAAACATACCCCACCACCCTTCTTGTTTTTCCTATCCTTCCTAAATAACATGTACCCATTTAAGTTAACTGCCCTTTCATGTGTCTCATCCCACCATGTTTCAGTTATGCCTATTATATCATATTATGTGAAAGTTTTAAGTCTGTAAATCAATTACGTCTCCCACAGTTAAAAAAAACCTTTTGGGTCTAGAAATTAAAACTTCTGGTTTAAGAAGTGGTTATGGTAGTAGAAGCTTGGATGTGCAGTGTTTTAGCTAGTTACGCCCCCGGCACACATCACATTGGTCTCTCAGAACTTTGTTCCGAGCTGCCTAATGTCAATTCTGTGCATATATCATGTCTGTCGTCAGCACTGGTGGCAGATGGTCACTGTTTATTTGATGTTTCAGCACATACCACAGGTGCTAAATTGGATTGAGATCTGGGAAATTTGGAGGCCAAGGCAACACCCTGAACTCCTTGTCATGGTCCTCAAAACATTCCTGAAAATTTTTTGCAGTGTGGCAGGATGCATTATCTTGCTGAAAGAGGCCTTTGCCATCACGGAACACCACTGCCATGAAGAGGTGTACATGGTTTGCAACAATCTCTAAGTAGGTGGTATATGTCAAAGTTATATCCACATTAACCCCTTAAGGACACAACTTCTGGAATAAAAGGGAATCATGACGGAATATTTTAAGGACCTAAGGTTTCCCAGTAGAACATTGCCCAGAGCATAACACTGCCTTCTGCCTTCTTCCCATAGCACATCCTGCTGCCATCTGTTCTCCAGGTAAAAGACACACACACACTTGGCCATCCATCTGATCTAAAAGAAAGCATGCCCACTGTGGTGACTTAACTCGTGCATTATCCAATTGTGAGCGCCGTTCCCTCTTGATGTATAGTGTCCGGCTGTCCCACTTTACCCGTTTGTTACAGCTCTCCCGGCATAAAGGGGTTAAACCGCCATTTAGTAGAGCATCCCTTTTGCGGAGGTACAGGCACAGCTACTATAGGACCCCAAACTCCTGAACTGGAACCAGAGGAATGCTCCAAACTCCCGAACAGTATACCCAGTAGCACTCCAAACTCCTGAACGGTAATCCCACGAATAGCTGCTAACAGACGAGAAGACACAGCATCCAAGCGGCTTACATTCTCAGCAATCAGTCTCTAACCGCGTACAGTAAATCCCCCCAATTACGACCAAGCTCCGTATTGAGGGTAAAACAGGATTCTGGTTTATTGTGGGCTACCTGCCCAGTATTTATGCAGGTCTCCTTCCTGGTGGACACTCCCCTAGGGGACCAGTTGGGAGACTATGACAAGGGACAGACACATAGCAAATCCTGACACACCGATACAAAATATCCCCACAATGCACCACAACTCCTCCCTCTCTGTCCGGGAGATAATTGGGAAGTAACTCAATTATCTCCCAGGACAGAGGCAAATCGCCATTACACACGTGGGGACAATGATACAGAAAAAGGCAAAAAAATATACGACATGACCAATAATGCAACAATTATAAACATATAACATATCTCCAGATAGCTCAGGTCTGAGCGCACATTAATACAGAATAGTGCTCAGACCACACGAATACAGTTTAATTGCCATAGAGCCAAAGTCTTTAATTACACGAACAGGCTCCATGGCATGCTATCTGGGTACCTTCATTCATATAATACAAAGTCCCGAAAGCCGGCATTCGGTTGAATAACTGGCGCGGGTGTAGCGGAGAGCTGGTCTCCCACAGCCTATTTCCGCTGGTATCCTAGAATGGCTCAGGAACAAGTAGTAAATCCAATAGAGTAGCAAGCACAATCAGCAATGTAATCCAAGAATATCCCATCACCTTTCCCAATAACTGGACGACACACAGTATCAGGAGCAGAACTGATCTTTAATCACACAACCCCTGCTTTTATGCAATCCTCCCATGCAAGGGAGACACCCACAATAATTAGTACAGTAACCAATTAGGTGTAAGGTACAACCCACACATCTCCACCCCTCAGATTATCAGTTAACATAATTAAAAGGTACACAATTTTCACCACGTTCTGGATGTATCCCAAATACCTAGGGTATGCACCTAAGAATGGTATCCCCTGATAGCCCTGATCTGGGTGAGTAACATACTCAAAAATCACCCCGATCGGACCAGGGGTTTGGGAGTTATGGAGGGATAAAGTTTTGACCGACAGCACAGGCAACAGTAACCGAAAACAGTTCCATAAGTTTTGGCCTTGCGGTCAGGCTCTGTTCGTGCTTTAAAAGTCCCAAACTAAATGCCATCCAGAGCTGGGCGGGCATTTGGATGAATCCCTGTGTTTGTGGGATTCATCCTACCGAACCGTGGGCCGTTCGGGAGTTTCTATCCGTCATTTCTGTAGCTCTGGAGGTCTTGTCGGTGTTTGCTTAGTCGAGTGTCCAATTTGGGTTCCAGATACTCGACGATCAAACACCGCTGTTCGGGAGTTTAAGATGGCCGCCGCCATGTGTTCGGCTCCCGAAATGGCGGCCACCCATGGACTGCAACAAAGCGTTCGTGAGTTTTAAGTGAGATGAAATAGCACGAACAGGGAGGTAGATTGAAGCCACACTTCGCATCAGGGGGGTCCGGTGATTCGGTAGTTTTAGATCGTATGTCGAATGGAGTGGTTCAATTCAGTCTATGGGGAATAATTAGACGAATGCTTTAAATCCACACGAACATTTCTGGGGTCACCTAACAAATAAACAGGGAATATGCTGGACAGCCAGATAGTCTCTGCTACTGCGGGAATCAAGGAAGGCTGGAGGTTCAGCGGTGTTTGGTGAGTGAAAGTGTCCGCTTTCAGCTCACTGAGTCCGGTCTGAGCACTCCTGGTTGTGCCGGAGACTGCAGAACACCGCCATCGTGTGGCAGCCAGGTGTAACCACGACCATCCGGGAACAGACAGTTAAGCTGCGGTTAACCGCAGCTACTCGGTGGTCAATTGATGGCACACACTAGCTGCAGGGAGATCAATTGGAGGCACACGCCAGCTTCCTGGTGGTCGCGCCTTTCCATAGTTTAACAGGGGAACACATAGGGACTGTACAGGCAGACAAACAGACGAATGGAGGGAAAATAATTGTAATCCATATACAGACAGTTCTGTTACACATTTCCCTCCCTGTGGGACACTGCGGCAGACCCGGCTTTACCCTTCTCGGGTCAACTTGGGGATGTCTGGAACTCGGATGCCAGAGTGATGTCGGTTTGCCGGGACAACCCATCAGCATTGTCATTCTGTTTACCGGGTCTATAACTGATGGTAAAATTGTAAGGTTGCAGAGCCAGACTCCACCGTAGCAACCTGCCATTGTCTTCTGAGACCCGGTTAAGCCAGACCAATGGGTTGTGGTCGATAATAAGAGAAAATTCCTGCCCGTACAGATAAGGGGTTAACTTTTTCAGTGCCCAGACCAGGGCTAGACATTTTCTCCACTGTCACGTAGCTCACTTCCCTGGGTAGTAGTTGCCTGCTTAAGTACGCTACAGGGTGCTCTCCTCCATCCTCCCCGACTTGGCTCAGCACAGCCCCCAGTCCATACATGGAAGCATCTGTATGAACAAGAAAATGTTTGTTAGAGACTGGGGCAGCCAACACAGGGGCATTAACAAGAGCCTGCTTTAGTGCCTGGAATGCGGCTTCACAAGCTGGAGACCACAGGACCTGCTTAGGTAAGTTTTTCTTAGTCAGGTCAGTCAGGGGCTTAGCTATGGTGCTGTAATCTGTGACAAAACATCTATAATACCCTGCCGTCCCCAAGAAGCCTAGTACCTGGGTCTTAGTGATAGGTGTGGACCAGTTAGCCACTGCCTCTACCTTGGCTGGCTCTGGTCTCTGGTTTCCACACCTCACTCTGTGACCCAGGTATTGCATTTCAGCCATGCCTTGGATGTCTGGCTTCAAAGTCAGGCCAGCGGCCCAAATCTTGTCCAGAACTACCCCTATGTGTATAAAATGCTCCTCCCAAGACCCACTGTAGATCGCAATGTCGTCCAGATATGCACAAGCAAATTCCTGGAAGCCATCGAGTAGTCTATCCACCATACGCTGAAAGGTAGCCGGTGCATTCTTCATCCCGGCATGACCCTAAATTGGTACAGGCCAAACGGGGTGACTTGGGGATAGCATCCTCGGCCAGGGGAATCTGCCAATAGCCCTTACACAGGTCTATGGTAGTCAGATAGCGCCCCCTAGTGATTCGATCTAGTAATTCGTCTACCTGGGGCATCGGGTAGGCGTCAGTGGTAGTCTTCTCATTGAGTCGCCTGTAGTCCACACAGAACCCGGGTGGTCCTATCTTTCTTGGGCACCAAGACCACAAGGACTATCGGAGGGTCATCTCCTGTATCTTCTTTCCGCATTCCTTCTCAGTCTGCTTCAGGGATAAGGTAAGGGGGCTGTCGCAGGGGAGTCTGTCCAAGAGTCTCTACCTTATGTACAGCCAGGGTCGAAAAGCCCGGCTTTTGGGAGAAAGTCGCCTGTTTCTCCCACAGCAGCCTCTGAGCCTGTTTCTTTTCCGCAGGGCTTAACCCGTCCCCTAGCTGTACAAGGCTCGTCAAGTCAGTCTGGGGGTCCCTTTCCAGTAAGTCAGGTAGAAGTAACCCCTCTGAGTTGTCTGCAGCCAGGGCACACACTGCAGCGACATCCTCCTGTCTCTCCTGATACTCTTTCAGCATGTTCACATGAAAGGATCGCTGGATCCTTTCATCTGCACAGCTGGCAACGACATAGGTAGTGTCACAGGTTACTACCTTGCTTGCATCTTGTCTGTCTTCACAGGTTTGAGCACTAAAACCTTCTGCCCAACCTGGAAGACGCGCTGCCGGGCACCCCGATCATACCACCTCTTCTGTCTCCCCTGGGCCGTCTGGAGATTCTCTCTGACCATCAGAGACAGTTTCTCCATGCGGTCCCCGAGTTCCAGAACCTAGGTACCTAGGTACCACAGTACATGTCGGGGAAGAGAGTCTTACCTGGGTCTCAGCAGCAGGTGAGTTGGCACGGGTGGTCACAGGGTGGGCTTCAGCGTGGCCCGTCGGGGCATAAGCGGACACAAGGGGGGCCAAATCATTCCCCAACAAGACATCTGCAGGCAAGTCTTTCATAACCCCCACATGAACATGTCTAGAGCCCACCCCCTAGTCCAGGTGAACCCGAGCCACAGGTAGCCTAAAAACGGTACCTCCGGCTACCCGTACGGCCACGGTTTCTCCGGTGTGCTGATTCTCTGGAACAAGGTCCTTCTGCAACAGAGTCATAGTAGCACCGGTGTCTCTCAATCCGGTTGCTGCTTTGCCATTCACCTTGACCATCTGGCGATGCTGTTGCCGGTTATCTGGGCTAGCTGCTTGCACTGGGTCAGCCTCATGCAGGATACCCCAGCACTCTTCCTCCTCAACACAATGGGCAGCCGGTACTGCTGGCCGGGGTTTCAACCCGGGAACATTCAATTAAGCTGCGGTTAACCGCAGCTACTGGGTGGTCAATTGACGGCACACTCTAGCTGCAGGGAGATCAATTGGAGGCACACGCCAGCTTCCCAGTGGTCGCGCCTTTGTAGTTTAACAGGGGTACACATAGGGACTGTACAGGCAGGGAAATAAACCGAAAAAACAGACGAATGGAGGGAAAATAATTGTAATCCATATACAAACAGTTCTGTTACACCGTTAATTGTAAACCAGAAGTGACACGACTGTTTGTCCGGCGGTGCTGTTAAGACTGGGCAAAGTGCTGGCAACACGATACTTTATGCTAAATGCACCATTAAGTCCTTGCACAATGATCACTAATATCCTAATATAGCGTGGGAAAAAAGAGAGATGAAAGCACAAACACATATATAATTAATGTCTTTTTTTTTTTTTTTTCTCACTCCAGTACAACACAGACAAGTAAGGTATTCATTATCCAGTGAGCATCATCGTTAGTTTTCACATAAAAATCCACAGTAACAGAAAGATTTCAGATGATGTCTTAACTGGGCCTTTGCTAAGAAGTGTGGAGTAAGGCTTTTTTTGGGGGGGGTTGTGAAAAAAGTAACGAAATACCATTAAGTGGAACTAGGTAAATGTTCCCATAGGGCCTTGTTGAACAACGTAAAACTGCTAAGGTTCCTGTGGAGAGTGGGCTACCTCTATGGTGTAATACCCTCCTGAGTTAGAGTTTAGTAAGATCATGTAACCTTTTATCCATATAGTGGAGGAGGGAAGGAGTAACTATGTGTGGCTCATTATTGGATTCAGTAGTGAACCAGCTTGATAACCCGTGTAATCGGGTCTTATTAGTCGGCCTGGGCAGAAGCGATGTTTCAAGAGAGATCTAGGTTGCTCCGTAAACAAAAAGTAATAATCAATCAATTAAATAAAAGGTGTGGAAAAATAAATAAATTAATGCAACAATATTGGGGACAATAATAAAAACATCAATTTTGTGACAGTTCAGTGGTGGTTAGAGGACAGAGTCACTGTCGATGCAGGTATTGCTTTACATTTTCCACTCCTTCAATTAGGTAGCCTAAAAACGGTACCTCCGGATACGTACGGCCACGGTTTCCCCGGTGTGCTGATTCTCTGGAACAAGGTCCTTCTGCAACAGAGTCATAGTAGCACCGGTGTCTCTCAATCCGGTTGCTGCTTTGCCATTCACCTTGACCATCTGGCAATGCTGTTGCCGGTTATCTGGGCTAGCTGCTTGCACTGGGTCAGCCTCATGCAGGATACCCCAGCACTCTTCCTCCTCAACACAATGGGCAGCCGGTACTGCTGGCCGGGGTTTCAACCCGGGAACATTCAATTAAACTTGCAGAACTTGCAGAAGGGGTTACATACACCGGCACCAATTCAGGGTATTCCTCGTAAGTTCCGCGAAGAGCAACAGCATGGTGCCTTCGAAGGAAATCAGGGTTTTCCCACGATTTGCAGCCAAAAGCAAGGTCCTGTTCTGCAGGTACTGGAACCGGAGTATGAGATTAGGAGCGGTGGCCTACGGTGCTTCCGCTGGCTTAGGAAAGCGGAACGTGCTGTCTAGTCTCACGGTCTTGGCCTGTTTGGGTGTGAAGAAGGCTGCCTTAAACCTCCGAATGAAGTGAGGCAAGTGTCATTTCCAGCGATACCAGTACTCCACTGAGCTTGAGGTTGTACTATATCCGGTGATCCTCCAATGCATTGATTCTATCTTCGGCCTTCTGCGGATTTTTCTGTAGGTCCACAAGTCCCTTTTTCACTGCAGTCAGTCTGGCTTAGTGGTGGTGCTCTCAATTGCCTTTTTGAAGTGGGCCATGTCCCCCACAAAGTTCGCATGAAGCTCTGTAAGCATAGCTTTCAGCTGGGATGCCGTGACCGGGTCCCGGTCCTCTGACTCCAAGAGATTGGGTCTTGACTGCTTGCCACTGGAGGCTCCTTTACCTGAGCCCAGGGAGTAGTCCTTCGAAGAGTAGGATGAGCCCTTGTCTAGGGGTGCCATGTGGTCCCACGCATCTTTCTGTGAGTTGTGAAATATATCTCCAATGTCATGGCTCTGTGGGCTTTTATTAGCCTTTGGTCTCTTATATTTACATCCCATATCGTCAGGTAGTAGTAAGTAGCATTTGGGTCTCTTATTTCCTCCAAAAAAATGACTTTTAGGGCAAAAGTTTGCAGAACGCTGGGAATGTGGGACTGCTCTGGTTCACTGCTTGGCTCCACCCCATAATTAATTTCTTAACAGAATAAAATTGTTAAAGGACCACTATAGGCACCCAGACCACTTCAGCTTAATGAAGTGGTCTGGGTGCATGGTCCATCTAGTATTAACCCTTTCTGCCGTAAACATAGTGTAACAGAGCTCCTTGTACTCCGACTGAGTACCCTCCGTTGACGGATACTTCTAGTGTTTCCTGAGGACTCCAAGCAGTGCAGCAGACACCACAACCACCACAGACTCCGCAACCGCTGTATCTTGACTGGAGTCTCGCCGTCTTCCTTCCACCCTGGATCAGCTTCTGTCCTCCAGGACTGTGTGGGAAAGAACTCTTCCTTCTACCCTGTATGAACCTCCAGCATCCAGGACTGTGTGGTGAAGACCCCTCCTCCAAGGAGAGCGTGTCAGGAACAAGCTCTTAAAAGAGCTAAGTGATTCAAGCTCAGGGGAGCATGCAGAGCAGAGCAATCCCCAGTGTGATTATAACAGCTCCCTCCAATAACGAGACAAGGCTACATTTAGAGGGATCAAGAAGAACTGTCTAAACCTTTATTTCCCTTGGGACCAGCCCATAGGGTCACCACAATAACATTGTTGTGAAACCTCAATAAAATCAAAAACAGTCAAACCATAGCAGGCAAAACACAGTGACTTATCACAGCACAATGGCACATTTTTAAAGGGGTGGGGGAGACAATATTTAACAAAATATCTCACGTGTCTGCAGAATTAGCAATATGCAAATGTACCCAAATATGCAAATGAACCAGTCTTGCTATTCAGGTAGTGCATATTGCTGTTGCTGCCAACAGAGGGCACTAGACAAGCTCCATAGCCAAACCCACCTAGTTGGTAGCAAACCTCAGCAGTACAAGAGAGCAGGCAATACATTACACAGTACACACACACTATAAACAATTACATTACACACACTCTGCACCTATAATGGGTACAGGGTGACTAAAGCATAAGATAAATAAAGCAGCCTACATAAATAGTCTGTCTGAAGGTAGACTAGGGGCTTTAAAGCCAAATACATGAAAGAGTCATAGTCACAGGGGAGGAGGCTGGCAAGCAGGCCTCTCCAGTACCAAGTGGCGAAGGGCACTTCGTCACACATAGCAGTTTCATAGAAACTGCTATGTTTACCTATGGGTTAATCCAGCCTCTAGTGGCTGTCTCATTGACAGCCGCTAGAGGCGCTTCTCACTGTGATTTTCACAGTGAGAAGACGCCAGCGTCCATAGGAAAGCATTGAGAATGGCGGATCCAGAAGCTAATCTCGGGAGGGGCACTGGCAGATCATTTTAAGAAATAATCCAGGCACAATAACCACTACAGCTCTCTGTAGTGTTTTTGGTGCCAGGAGTTTCTGTGGCGCCCTCCCAGAGTAAGTAGTCAAAAAAAGTTTGATAACTTACCCGGGGTCTGCCGGGATTGGGGCTGTAGTGTGTATGTGGACAAAAGCAAACAAACAAAGGATGGCTCTGCGCCAATAAACAAGGTAAATAAATTAAAGTCCTAGTTAGGATAGTGGTAATTGAGTGGACTTGGGTCCTGATGTTGGTCTCTGGAGTTGCGCTCCTCGCAGTATCCAAATATATAGGAGAGGGTGATGAATGATGAAAAGGATGATGGTGCAGGGTGATCCAAGAGGTGTCAAATATAAATAGAAGAGGTCTTACAATATGTAGTGTTTAATCCAGCTCTGGTGTTGATAGCTTGCAGCGGTATAATCCCCGCTTGTAGGATATAGGTATCCTCTTCAGTGCATTGACAGACGGCCAGGGAGAGATTAAAAAATGGAAACAATAATGGTGCAGTATGTTCCAAAAAATGAATAAAAAGGAAAATTTATTCCTACTTGCCGTAATTTTCTTTTCCTGGTCATAGGCCATGGCAGCACAACAATGGGTAGCTCCTCCCTATCTCTAACCAGACAGGAACCTAATTAAAACAGATGGTATAAGTAACACCTCCTACCCCTCCCACCCTCAGTCTTGTTTCCAGCAATATCCCAGGGCGGGGTCTTTGTGCTGCCATGGCCTATGACCAGGAAAAGAAAATTATGGCAAGTAGGAATAAATTTTCCTTTTTCCTGGCCATATCCATGGCAGCACAACAATGGGTAATACCCAAGCAATAACCAAGGGAGGGAAATAAGTACACAAGACTTCCTAAATATGAATGCAAATTGACAACATACACACACCTCATAAGGACATTCGAAATGAAAAACTGATTGCCCACTAATGGCACATTATCAAATTGACCAACTCAAATGTACCAAAAAAAAATGTCTGCAAATTGATTGTAGACTAAGCAGCCATTTACCTACAAGTTCCAGGGAAGCTTGGCCACCGATGCTCAAGAGGGAGAAATGGCTCTAGAGCAAACATATCTTTAAGTACTGTAATCCCTAGGGTTTAGTCGCCTAAAAAACAGCCAAGACTATCCATCTGCCGTTGGCTTGAAGATCTTTGTGGTCTATTAGTAAAGATAAACAGAAGAAATCCAGAAAGCGGATCTATAAAAATAGATCTTAAGGCATCTATCTAGGACAGGAGGAGAAAGTTTTATTATGGACTCTACATTCTATGCAAAATAGTGCTTGAGGATCTAATATCCTTCAGTCCATGCCAATGTCAACGATATAGCTAACTTAATGTTAAGCAAATGTGGAGAGATATACTCTCATGGTTAAAAGGGGTAAAAATTTCAGAGCCCTAAAAAAAAAAACAGGAAAGAATTCCACGGAGAGCAATAGATAACCGTGGGATCATATAAATACAACCAACAGAAATTTAGGTACTTCCATATTAAAGCCCTTTCACGAAAAGAGAGATCAGAGAGTGCTGAGACATATCTCTGAGGTGATGTGGCCAATTCCTAGATAAGTCCTGGATTGAAGAACTTAGAACCTTCTTGGTAGTTCAAAAACCTCTTATATTTAAGCCCTTCTACATTATCGAAACCTTCAAAATGAGGAAAGTAGCACCGGACCTGATGGAAGAGGGAAGAACTATTGTGGGAGATCCCATGGAGGCACTGAAGAAGATAAGTAGAAGTGGAAACCCTTGGACTGGGTATTAATATGGAACTGTCAGGATGATTGATATTGGCTCTTGCAACCTATGCAGAAGAGAAATGTTGGATGTTAACATATTTGAATTTTGAGAAAGGTTCCTCAACCCCAGTGGATGGTATTCATAGTTATCACTGTCCAAAGGATTTCCATAGGTAACTTAACCTCTGCCCTTGTGACATCTTATCAGATCTATGGTGGAGGACCTGGATCAAAACTCGCTCTGCTGGAGTAATATGCTAGTCTTAAAAGAGCTGTACCGTGCCTTGGACCATGTCAAACTGTATTTGCAGCTATACCCTGAACTGGGAGGGAGCAAGGTCACTACAGCAGACATTCATCTTTCATCATGAAGATGTAAAAATAAAAGTGATGTGAGGCAAAGGATACGTGGCAATAAGCATCCTGCAAATCTATAGACATTATCCAATGTACTAGGAATACTACCTTTTATAAATAAGAACGTTCAAGAATCCTGTAAATTAGAATGGATCTCCAACACCTGTTAGAAACAGATTCTTTGTGTTCTAGTTGCTTTTTAAAAAATTCTCACAATAGCTTCCTCTAATTGAAGGGAAGCCATGAGATTTACAAAGCATCTCTTTTTACCTTTTCTCTTCCTCTGGTAGAATAATGACCACTTACATCAAGGTTGAGATCTGCCACACTCTCTTCATGGTGTGAAATACCTTGGTCTGAGAAGGAAGCTAGTGAGAATCTTTATATCGAAAAGGGTCTCCCAAACCTTAGGTCTTGAAGTAGACAAGCTTTCTTGCCCTCTGCCGTTCTGTTGAACCATTAATATAGGAGGATGCATCCGTGGACCAGGTATTAAGCAAAAGAGCCCAGCTAATAGACACAAAGAAAGTTATATTTCTGGCTATAATATAATGCAACCTATGTAGGCTTCTTAGCTGAAGACTATTCCCGGTTAATGACTTGTAAATTGTCAAGAGACAAAGGAAATTTATCTCTGATATGCTCCTCCAATTTATCCATACCACTATTAGATCCTTAGAGATTGAGGTAAAACCTTACAGCAAGATGAAAGCCTGTGCCAGCTGCCACATAGGCTTTAGAGAGGAGCAGAACCATGTATACTCCGTGGAGTTTCAGAGAGATCCCGCATTGTTTACAGGCAGAGAGGAACATTTAGCCAGTCTAAGGACTGCATCTACTACTTAGGAGCAGAGTCCCAGGTACTAGTGTCTGAAATTCCAATGGATGAAGACTGAGATACTCCCTTGTGTTGAAAACCTCTCTCAGTGTAGAACCATTCCTCCATTAAGGATCTTAAGGGGACCGGAAACTGGAAAAGATACTCTACACCCTCTGACATCCGAAAAGAAAGGCTAGAGGTAAAAGGACTCTGGAAATCAAATGAGCGGATTCTGGAACTACTGAAATAGGCTGAATATCCTCATCCGATGATTTCATATCTCTGAATGGATCCATCTCTCAGGATTCCTAAAAGTATTCATTCTGGGAATTGTCCAGAGGATCCAAGCTTTAACAGCTTCTATGACGTCTTGAGATACCTCCTGTTAATATTGTGTAATACACAGGGCATGGGTAGAAGGGCCTGTAGCCACTTTCAAACAGTCTGTGCAGAGACTTTACTTTTACAAGTAAATACCATACCAAGTAATGGTATGGACCTTGACCATCTGGCAATGCTGTTGCCGGTTATCTGGGCTAGCTGCTTGCACTGGGTCAGCCTCATGCAGGATACCCCAGCACTCTTCCTCCTCAACACAATGGGCAGCCGGTACTGCTGGCCGGGGTTTCAACCCGGGAACATTCAATTAAACTTGCAGAACTTGCAGAAGGGGTCACATACACCGGCACCAATTCAGGGTATTCCTCGTAAGTTCCGCGAAGAGCAACAGCATGGTGCCTTCGAAGGAAATCAGGGTTTTCCCACGATTTGCAGCCAAAAGCAAGGCCCTGTTCTGCAGGTACTGGAACCGGAGTATGAGATTAGGAGCGGTGGCCTACGGTGCTTCCGCTGGCTTAGGAAAGCGGAACGTGCTGTCTAGTCTCACGGTCTTGGCCTGTTTGGGTGTGAAGAAGGCTGCCTTAAACCTCCGAATGAAGTGAGGCAAGTGTCATTTCCAGCGATACCAGTACTCCACTGAGCTTGAGGTTGTACTATATCCGGTGATCCTCCAATGCATTGATTCTATCTTCGGCCTTCTGCGGATTTTTCTGTAGGTCCACAAGTCCCTTTTTCACTGCAGTCAGTCTGGCTTAGTGGTGGTGCTCTCAATTGCCTTTTTGAAGTGGGCCATGTCCCCCACAAAGTTCGCATGAAGCTCTGCAAGCATAGCTTTCAGCTGGGATGCCGTGACCGGGTCCCGGTCCTCTGACTCCAAGAGATTGGGTCTTGACTGCTTGCCACTGGAGGCTCCTTTACCTGAGCCCAGGGAGTAGTCCTTCGAAGAGTAGGATGAGCCCTTGTCTAGGGGTGCCATGTGGTCCCACGCATCTTTCTGTGAGTTGTGAAATATATCTCCAATGTCATGGCTCTGTGGGCTTTTATTAGCCTTTGGTCTCTTATATTTACATCCCATATCGTCAGGTAGTAGTAAGTAGCATTTGGGTCTCTTATTTCCTCCAAAAAAATGACTTTTAGGGCAAAAGTTTGCAGAACGCTGGGAATGTGGGACTGCTCTGGTTCACTGCTTGGCTCCACCCCATAATTAATTTCTTAACAGAATAAATTTGTTAAAGGACCACTATAGGCACCCAGACCACTTCAGCTTAATGAAGTGGTCTGGGTGCATGGTCCATCTAGTATTAACCCTTTCTGCTGTAAACATAGTGTAACAGAGCTCCTTGTACTCCGACTGAGTACCCTCCGTTGACGGATACTCCTAGTGTTTCCTGAGGACTCCAAGCAGTGCAGCAGACACCACAACCACCACAGACTCCGCAACCGCTGTATCTTGACTGGAGTCTCGCCGTCTTCCTTCCACCCTGGATCAGCTTCTGTCCTCCAGGACTGTGTGGGAAAGAACTCTTCCTTCTACCCTGTATGAACCTCCAGCATCCAGGACTGTGTGGTGAAGACCCCTCCTCCAAGGAGAGCGTGTCAGGAACAAGCTCTTAAAAGAGCTAAGTGATTCAAGCTCAGGGGAGCATGCAGAGCAGAGCAATCCGCAGTGTGATTATAACAGCTCCCTCCAATAACGAGACAAGGCTACATTTAGAGGGATCAAGAAGAACTGTCTAAACCTTTATTTCCCTTGGGACCAGCCCATAGGGTCACCACAATAACATTGTTGTGAAACCTCAATAAAATCAAAAACAGTCAAACCATAGCAGGCAAAACACAGTGACTTATCACAGCACAATGGCACATTTTTAAAGGGGTGGGGGAGACAATATTTAACAAAATATCTCACGTGTCTGCAGAATTAGCAATATGCAAATGTACCCGAATATGCAAATGAACCAGTCTTGCTATTCAGGTAGTGCATATTGCTGTTGCTGCCAACAGAGGGCACTAGACAAGCTCCATAGCCAAACCCACCTAGTTGGTAGCAAACCTCAGCAGTACAAGAGAGCAGGCAATACATTACACAGTACACACACACTATAAACAATTACATTACACACACTCTGCACCTATAATGGGTACAGGGTGACTAAAGCATAAGATAAATAAAGCAGCCTACATAAATAGTCTGTCTGAAGGTAGACTAGGGGCTTTAAAGCCAAATACATAAAAGAGTCATAGTCACAGGGGAGGAGGCTGGCAAGCAGGCCTCTCCAGTACCAAGTGGCGAAGGGCACTTCGTCACACATAGCAGTTTCATAGAAACTGCTATGTTTACCTATGGGTTAATCCAGCCTCTAGTGGCTGTCTCATTGACAGCCGCTAGAGGCGCTTCTCACTGTGATTTTCACAGTGAGAAGACGCCAGCGTCCATAGGAAAGCATTGAGAATGGCGGATCCAGAAGCTAATCTCGGGAGGGGCACTGGCAGATCATTTTAAGAAATAATCCAGGCACAATAACCACTACAGCTCTCTGTAGTGTTTTTGGTGCCAGGAGTTTCTGTGGCGCCCTCCCAGAGTAAGTAGTCAAAAAAAGTTTGATAACTTACCCGGGGTCTGCCGGGATTGGGGCTGTAGTGTGTATGTGGACAAAAGCAAACAAACAAAGGATGGCTCTGCGCCAATAAACAAGGTAAATAAATTAAAGTCCTAGTTAGGATAGTGGTAATTGAGTGGACTTGGGTCCTGATGTTGGTCTCTGGAGTTGCGCTCCTCGCAGTATCCAAATATATAGGAGAGGGTGATGAATGATGAAAAGGATGATGGTGCAGGGTGATCCAAGAGGTGTCAAATATAAATAGAAGAGGTCTTACAATATGTAGTGTTTAATCCAGCTCTGGTGTTGATAGCTTGCAGCGGTATAATCCCCGCTTGTAGGATATAGGTATCCTCTTCAGTGCATTGACAGACGGCCAGGGAGAGATTAAAAAATGGAAACAATAATGGTGCAGTATGTTCCAAAAAATGAATAAAAAGGAAAATTTATTCCTACTTGCCGTAATTTTCTTTTCCTGGTCATAGGCCATGGCAGCACAACAATGGGTAGCTCCTCCCTATCTCTAACCAGACAGGAACCTAATTAAAACAGATGGTATAAGTAACACCTCCTACCCCTCCCACCCTCAGTCTTGTTTCCAGCAATATCCCAGGGCGGGGTCTTTGTGCTGCCATGGCCTATGACCAGGAAAAGAAAATTATGGCAAGTAGGAATAAATTTTCCTTTTTCCTGGCCATATCCATGGCAGCACAACAATGGGTAATACCCAAGCAATAACCAAGGGAGGGAAATAAGTACACAAGACTTCCTAAATATGAATGCAAATTGACAACATACACACACCTCATAAGGACATTCGAAATGAAAAACTGATTGCCCACTAATGGCACATTATCAAATTGACCAACTCAAATGTACCAAAAAAAAATGTCTGCAAATTGATTGTAGACTAAGCAGCCATTTACCTACAAGTTCCAGGGAAGCTTGGCCACCGATGCTCAAGAGGGAGAAATGGCTCTAGAGCAAACATATCTTTAAGTACTGTAATCCCTAGGGTTTAGTCGCCTAAAAAACAGCCAAGACTATCCATCTGCCGTTGGCTTGAAGATCTTTGTGGTCTATTAGTAAAGATAAACAGAAGAAATCCAGAAAGCGGATCTATAAAAATAGATCTTAAGGCATCTATCTAGGACAGGAGGAGAAAGTTTTATTATGGACTCTACATTCAATGCAAAATAGTGCTTGAGGATCTAATATCCTTCAGTCCATGCCAATGTCAACGATATAGCTAACTTAATGTTAAGCAAATGTGGAGAGATATACTCTCATGGTTAAAAGGGGTAAAAATTTCAGAGCCCTAAAAAAAAAAACAGGAAAGAATTCCACGGAGAGCAATAGATAACCGTGGGATCATATAAATACAACCAACAGAAATTTAGGTACTTCCATATTAAAGCCCTTTCACGAAAAGAGAGATCAGAGAGTGCTGAGACATATCTCTGAGGTGATGTGGCCAATTCCTAGATAAGTCCTGGATTGAAGAACTTAGAACCTTCTTGGTAGTTCAAAAACCTCTTATATTTAAGCCCTTCTACATTATCGAAACCTTCAAAATGAGGAAAGTAGCACCGGACCTGATGGAAGAGGGAAGAACTATTGTGGGAGATCCCATGGAGGCACTGAAGAAGATAAGTAGAAGTGGAAACCCTTGGACTGGGTATTAATATGGAACTGTCAGGATGATTGATATTGGCTCTTGCAACCTATGCAGAAGAGAAATGTTGGATGTTAACATATTTGAATTTTGAGAAAGGTTCCTCAACCCCAGTGGATGGTATTCATAGTTATCACTGTCCAAAGGATTTCCATAGGTAACTTAACCTCTGCCCTTGTGACATCTTATCAGATCTATGGTGGAGGACCTGGATCAAAACTCGCTCTGCTGGAGTAATATGCTAGTCTTAAAAGAGCTGTACCGTGCCTTGGACCATGTCAAACTGTATTTGCAGCTATACCCTGAACTGGGAGGGAGCAAGGTCACTACAGCAGACATTCATCTTTCATCATGAAGATGTAAAAATAAAAGTGATGTGAGGCAAAGGATACGTGGCAATAAGCATCCTGCAAATCTATAGACATTATCCAATGTACTAGGAATACTACCTTTTATAAATAAGAACGTTCAAGAATCCTGTAAATTAGAATGGATCTCCAACACCTGTTAGAAACAGATTCTTTGTGTTCTAGTTGCTTTTTAAAAAATTCTCACAATAGCTTCCTCTAATTGAAGGGAAGCCATGAGATTTACAAAGCATCTCTTTTTACCTTTTCTCTTCCTCTGGTAGAATAATGACCACTTACATCAAGGTTGAGATCTGCCACACTCTCTTCATGGTGTGAAATACCTTGGTCTGAGAAGGAAGCTAGTGAGAATCTTTATATCGAAAAGGGTCTCCCAAACCTTAGGTCTTGAAGTAGACAAGCTTTCTTGCCCTCTGCCGTTCTGTTGAACCATTAATATAGGAGGATGCATCCGTGGACCAGGTATTAAGCAAAAGAGCCCAGCTAATAGACACAAAGAAAGTTATATTTCTGGCTATAATATAATGCAACCTATGTAGGCTTCTTAGCTGAAGACTATTCCCGGTTAATGACTTGTAAATTGTCAAGAGACAAAGGAAATTTATCTCTGATATGCTCCTCCAATTTATCCATACCACTATTAGATCCTTAGAGATTGAGGTAAAACCTTACAACAAGATGAAAGCCTGTGCCAGCTGCCACATAGGCTTTAGAGAGGAGCAGAACCATGTATACTCCGTGGAGTTTCAGAGAGATCCCGCATTGTTTACAGGCAGAGAGGAACATTTAGCCAGTCTAAGGACTGCATCTACTACTTAGGAGCAGAGTCCCAGGTACTAGTGTCTGAAATTCCAATGGATGAAGACTGAGATACTCCCTTGTGTTGAAAACCTCTCTCAGTGTAGAACCATTCCTCCATTAAGGATCTTAAGGGGACCGGAAACTGGAAAAGATACTCTACACCCTCTGACATCCGAAAAGAAAGGCTAGAGGTAAAAGGACTCTGGAAATCAAATGAGCGGATTCTGGAACTACTGAAATAGGCTGAATATCCTCATCCGATGATTTCATATCTCTGAATGGATCCATCTCCCAGGATTCCTAAAAGTATTCATTCTGGGAATTGTCCAGAGGATCCAAGCTTTAACAGCTTCTATGACGTCTTGAGATACCTCCTGTTAATATTGTGTAATACACAGGGCATGGGTAGAAGGGCCTGTAGCCACTTTCAAACAGTCTGTGCAGAGACTTTACTTTTACAAGGAGCTATCATCATAGGGAATTCCAATTATTGATAGGCACTCTTTTGTTTAGTAATGACAGAAAAAATAGAATGGCTTACCTATGTCTCTTAGAGTGTGACCTTTTTTCTGGGGGCAGAGGGATCTGAATCCATAACTGCATAAGATTTCTTTTTATCCTTTACAAAGAAAATCTCTGCTAAATAAGTAGAGGTTGATAGATATAGAAAAATAAGTAATATACCTTTGATAAAGAAAAACTTACCAAAACCAAAAAGAAGAATTCAAGTTAAGATGGAAACTGCACACAAATCTAATTACTTAATATAGGAAAAACCTATAAGAAAACATTGTGCTGAAAAGGGGAAGCCAATTTGACCCTGCAACCTCTGCAACTGGGCTTACATTTTAGAATACGCACGAGCGAATAAGATTTCCGTGCATGCGCGGTAATGGCAAGGCGCGACCATTGGACTAGCACTTCGTATTCGCAGGTGATTAAACGCAGAGGAAAAAACCTGAATGGGCCCAAAAGTAATAATGGAAACTTAGGGACTTAAAATAAAACAGGTTGAAAGGCTGAGATAGAGGAACAGAACAGCGAATAGCCTATTACCAAGTACAGAGACATTGAAATAGGATAATAAATTTAGTGAATACATAAAACCAACATTAGAGGCATATAATAATGAAATTAAAAAGCACATAGAATAAGTGAACCCAGCAGCTGTTTAAAAGGCACTAGAAACAATTATTGCAAATCTTGAACCAGGAAAGAGACATTCAGATATTTTCTGGTTTCCAAGTGTACACATTTTATTTTTAATTAAGGACTGAGTCAGCCCCGCAGGGAATTGAACTGGCGAGCCCCAAGTGACAAACAGATTCTACTGATTAAGTATTAGCCCACTGAACTATCTCACCATACTCAGGTGAGACACCTGCAATAAAAGGTTTAACAGAGGCCTAGGAATAAGTAAATCCAGCGGTTATAATAAAAGGCCCAACAGAGGCCTAGGAAAAAGCTCGCTGCTATATTAAAAGGCATAACAAATGCCTAGGAAAAGGTGACTCCTATGGCTGTATTAAAAGATACAGAGGCTTAGGAGTAAGATATAGGAGCCTATGAGTAAGTGACTCCAGTTAAAAGGCCCAGCAGAGGCCTAGGAATAAGTAATCCAGTGCTTATATTAAAAGGCCCAACAGAGGCCTAGGAATAAGACACAGAGGCCTAGGAATAAGACACAGAGGCCTAGGAATAGGTAACCCATTGGATATATTAAAAGACACAGAGGCCTTGGAATAGGTAACCCAGTGGATATATTAAAAGACACAGAGGCCTAGGAATAAGACACAGAAGCCTAGGATAAGTTTGATAGAAATTCAGATTAGCAGGAATCTCTTACCGTTTAGATGAAACCGATGAAGGGTAGAAGGGGTTATACCCATATATTTGCTCTGTATGTGCCTGCCCAGCCTGGTACCCCTTGGTTACTGCAGGAAATAGGCTGATGACAAAATCTTGCTGCCTTTAGGGTCACAGCAAGTAAATCCATGGCAAATTAAAAGATAGTGAGTTGTACTTTAACCCTTTCAGCGATGGAATGCTAGTCTGTCTCACATTAACTCCTTCAGCAATGGAATGTTAGTCAATGTCATATTAATCCTTGCAATCCATGTGCTCTGTATGTGCATGTCCGGCCTGCTACCTCTTGGTCACTGCAGGAGACAGGATGATGGCATAATCTTGCTACCCCTAGGGTCACAGCAAGTTAGAACCCCCGGTCACTAAAGGGGTCTCTCCAGGGGGTCACCTTTGCACAGGGCCGTGTACTGGAGACTGCCCCAGGGAGAGAGGCTGAACTCCCTTGAGGGAGAAGAAGGTAACAACCCTCAGGTAAGCCAAAAAGAAAAAATTCTCTAGTCTTAGAATGACTAAATCTGTCCTAGGGATAGGACAGGAACAAAAAGACTGAGGGTGGGGGGTGGGGGGGGGGTTACTTATACCTTCTGTTTTAATTAGGTTCCTGTCTGGTTAGGGATAGGGAGGCGCTACCCATTGTTGTGCTGCCATGGATATGGCCAGGAAAAGATGATACACTCACATTGGGTAGAGCTTATACTAGCTCTAGTGTAGTAGGCATACAGCGGTATGATCCCTGCCTCTAGGATATATGATGAGTGTTCTTAGAGATGGTATCAGGAGCTCAGAGAGAAGATAATAAAACAGCAATAGTGCTCTCAATAAAATATTTATGGTTTATAAAATATAGTAAAATATAATCACAGTATATAGGGCAGGCTAACTGCTATATGATAAGGGCATAGGTGGTATGATCCCCACCTGGGATTCTTTGGAGTATAGTAAAAACTTAGATAAAATAAAAATAAATATAAAAAGCCAGGTAATAGTAAAAAAATACCGCTTCTTATTTGGCTAGGGAGGGGGGATAGGACATTCCCTGATGGTCCGGTGGCATGGAATATGCAGTGGGGGCCCACAGCAAGCGCTTACTTAACTTCCCTTCAGCCCCCTGTTTAAATCTCGTGGCTAGCGTGCCACATGGAGCGTTGCTATGGTAACCCATGGCTTTGCTCTGACGGCCGTGGAACTCGGGAGGTTTAGACAGTGGAGCTGCTGGGAAGGTAAGTAAGAGCTTGCTGCCCCCCAAGACCGCTGGGCTTGTCATCGACCCAGCGGTCCTGGTCTGTATTATCGGCAATATTGCAGAGAATACCGAATATTGGCCAATAACATCGGCCAGACCAATAATCTGTCGATCCCTACTATAAAAAAAAATTAATTCTATAATAAAATGGCACAGCTCAAAGTTATGATCAGGCCATATGATTGCAATATATTGAGATTGAAGATCGATTGCATCTCTGCTTGGACACTTTTTTAAATCCAATCTCCGCCTCTCCAGTCCCTTTTTATTTTCTGGTTACCAAAAAATTTTTTATTTCGCGATGGTACGCTGAGTTTCTGATATGTTCTTGTATTCTTATTGTGAACTGAGCCTATCCGAGCTTGCTCTTTTTCATGTGATTGTGTCCTAGTTATATAGTACACCTAACTATATTACACTAAATGGGTTTTATCTTTTCAGTTTTTACTATTACTATAACCCCTATAGGAGGAAGTGTTATTGTCAAACACGCTCCACTATATAATCTAGTGGTGATTTGTTGTCATTCAGTTTATGTTTCCGTTAAATCACTTTTGTTTCTATGTATGCAGGACTAACCACACCTCACCTAGCTGTGACTGACACAGCCTCCATAAAAATATGATTTTATTAAAGGACACGGAGGCTCATATTGTGCTTTCTCTTTCTTTATTATACCTCAGCAGCAAAGAAAAAATGTATAAACATTAAAGAAACCAAACTAAACTGAGTACTCAAAGCGTTAACATAGTCTGTTATCCTTAACCAATAGGAACAGTCCTTCTATCCATAACCACCCATGTGACCTTTCCTCTCCCTCTTTCTTTGCTGCTGCCTCAGCTAAGTATCACCTAATTTTGGCTCTCCAAAATTCTGTTCTTAATGTGGATGATTAGATTGCTATTTATGGTTATTGTTAATTGTTTCTTCATAGTTGATGAGTTTTTCCTTTAAGTTGTATAATTTTGTGTTTGCTGTGTTTTGGGGGAGTGCTGGGAGGCTGGATCCTGAGGGCTGCCCCTTGGGACATTCCTGATAGGACTGTCGGTTCCTTTCTTTTGTGCCTGCTTTTATTTACGTGTTGGGAGATGTACAGCTTCCCTCCCTCCCTCCCTTCCCCTCCCTGTCGGGTAGTTTATTACCCGTGCACCGGTTGTTTCGGCGGCTTACCAGCTGATCTCAGCATTGTCAGCTCGGGTCTGCGCGCGCATGCACATTCGCGGCCGCATAACGCGGCGGCCATTTTAAGTGCCGGCTTCTCTGCGTTTTTTTGCCGCGTTTTTCCTCCGACACTCCCAGCCTCCTGAAGGGCGGGAGTGTTCGGAGTGGGTGTGGGCTGAGGCTGTCAGCTTACTAGTGTCCCCCCTGCTGCCATTCCGTAGGGGAACACTAGGTAAGCTGACAGCTTGTCTGTGCCTTGCCCTAGCACCCTGCTTAGTTCCAGTCCTTTAGGTTTGGGACAATACCTAATAGTTAACTCTCCCTGGGGCTTAAAGTGGCAGGCTAGTGGGTGATTATAGCCACATTATTAATTCCATATAAGCCATAAGGGGTACCTTAAAGGGCCAGCAGTATAAAATTATTACCTCTCTTGCCATAGGGTGGTACAAAACCCCAGTCCTAGTGTCATCATGCAACACCCCAAAGATCAGGAGCGGGTCACTGTGACTATAGGCAGCCTGGGCACCACATCTCGTGGGTCCCTGGTTCCGCAGCCTATCTCCTCTCAAAGGGAGGAGGTGGGGTCAGTGGAGCAACTGAACTCGGAAGAGTTCCATTCTCTGCTGGATGCAACCATGGCAAAATCAGTCACACAAGCAATCTACACAGCGATGGGGGCGATGTCAGATAATCTGACCCAATCCATCAGTAACGCCATCATGGCGTCTAGCCACAGCTCCAACTACCACGGCTCCAAGGCCCAAGATGATAAGCCTGCTCCCCTTAGCGGTCGCAAGGCTACTGCAAAGACCCATCACATGGGCAAACAAGCCTCCAAAACATATATGACGGACAGGTTGCGTCCTGTCACTGATGAGGACGTGGGGCCCCACATAAAAGAGCCTCCCACCGGGCAAAAACGGTGCGGTCATGGAAATGGGCGAAAGCCGGGAGAGAAATATCCGACTCTGATTCGGACCAAGAGGAGGTATTGAGTGAGTCTGAAGACGTGGGCTCACTGGAATCGGAGAACTCTTCTCCGGAACGCAGTTTCTCTGGTAGGCCACCCACCAAGGGTCAAGACAAAGCAGATGAGTCCGTTATCCTAGATCCGTAAGGGGAACCTCTATTTAACCCTGACGACCTTCAACATCCTAGGTCGACAGAATGGTTCCCGGCGGACCACGTGGCCCAGTATATAGCAGCCAGAATAAGAAAGCCCCTAGACAAGGCTACCAGGAATAAGTTGAGGGCTGAATGCCCGCGCCCAACGGTGCCAGATATGGTGTGTGCGCCACGCCAGAACTAGACCCAAAGATTGCCCAATTTTTGGGAAAGTCGGGCTGGAAAGCCAAGAAAGGGCTAGATTATTCGCTACGCCACTGCCAAGATAAAGTACTTGACTTGCTAGGCCCCAGCGCAAAAATCTTCAACATGGTCAAAGAGACGATTTCAAGTGGCACGCCAGTGGACCTCTTGGCTATCCGAGAGTGGGCACAACGATATGTCTTATTGGCAATTCCAATGCAACGCTTTGTACAGAAAGACGCAAAGCGGTCCTCATGAAAATTGACCCGAAACTGGTCAACATGGCCATTGCTGAACCCGGGCCGCAGGCAAAGGGCCTCCTCTTCGGAGATAGTTTTGTCAAGGAATTAGGCAATTATGTTAGTATGTTTACGGCCCTGGACAAGGCACAAACAAACTTGAAGCGGGTGTTCCCCCCGAAGGTTTTTGGGGGGGCTGGCAGACAACAGGGCCGTCTGTCCAGCCGGTCATCACGGGGCTCCTATCGGGGCTACCGAGGCTCCCCCGCACCCAGATTTCCACAGCCGGACGTCAGGAACCCTTCCCCATTCTTTCCTGTCAGGGGCAGGCCATGGCAGCCCAGAGGGCGCAGAGGCGCTACATACGGCCGACGACCTTATGGTGAGTACCCTTCCTACTTCCCGGTATTGTACTTCATCTGTAGGGGGCAGACTATCCCATTTTATCGGGGCATGGCACGGACTCACGTCCGATGCCTGGGTTCTCAACACTGTTGTAGGGTATCAGATAGAATTTGTACAAACCCCAGTCCAACCGGCAGCCCCTCGACCAATGGTGTTTACCCCGCGGGACAAGAGTCTCGTGTCACAGGAAATCAGGGCATTAAGGGAGAAGGGCGCGATTTATCGAGTCGCGTATCATTCTCCAGGTTTCCTGAGCAATCTATTTCTGGTCCCCAAAAAGGGCGGTGGGGTAAGACCGGTGATAAACCTACGCCCCCTCAACGCGTTCGTACGGTATCACCACTTCAAAATGGAGGGGATCCATTGTCTGCGGGACCTCCTCAGGCTGGAAGACTGGATGGTCAAATTGGACCTCCAGGATGCCTATTTTACCGTCCCCATCGCGGAGGAATGTTGTCACCTCCTCCAGTTCCAGTGGAACGAGCAGATGTGGAGGTTCAGGTGCCTCCCTTTTGGCCTGTCTTCCGCTCCGTGGTGCTTTACGAAGCTCTAGAAACCGGTGGTGGCGCTGCTACGCAGCAGAGGAGTGCGCATGATCATCTATTTGGACGATATATTGATCATGGCGCAGGAGGTAAGCCTACTCCGACAACACTTGTCGTGGGCAATACAGCTTTTGCGCAACCTCGGTTTTCTCATCAATTGGGAGAAGTTGGTGTTGATTCCCTCACAGTCCATGGAATTCCTAGGGTTCACTATTAAAGCAGTCCAGGGAACATTGCATTTACCGCAGGAAAAGATCAAGATCATCAAAAAGGAGATCCACAGAACGCTACGTCGACCGACGCTCACGGTGCGACAGCTAGCCAGGATAATTGGACTCCTCTCAGCCTCCATTCAGGCGATCTTCCCCGGACCTCTACACTACAGGGCTCTACAGAGATTGAAAACCACACCTCTACAATCAGGTCGATCCTACTCAGACTCTGTTCCACTAGATCACACAGCCAAGGCGCCTCTGGATGCAACACATGGAGGCGTGGAACGGCAAAGCGATTTTTGGCAGCGCCCCGGATTGCATAATAGAAACCAATGCAAGCACGCAGGGCTGGGGAGTGCGTTGTGGTCATATTTCCACAGGCGGAAGATGGTCCCAGTCGGAAAGATCGATGCATATCAACGGCTTGGAACTCATGGCGGGATCATTCGCACTGAGAAGTCTTCTGGGAGCCAGGACACATTGTTCCATCGTCCTACGAATGGACAACATATCAGCGGTGCAATACATCAACCGCCTGGGCGGCACCAGATCCAAGCTTTTGGCGGACTTAGCCACGGAATTCTGGCAGTTTTTCCTGGATCGCAACATCTCAGTACAGGCCGAATACATCCCGGGCCTCTCGAATACGGTGGCGGATTGGAATTCCAGATACCTGCGGGACAACAGCGATTGGCGACTGAATCGCGCAGTATTCCTGTGATTGCAAACACTGTGGGGCCCAATGCACATGGATCTGTTTGCATCTCGTTTGAATACGCACCTACCGGAGTTCTTCAGCTGGAGGCCGGACCTGGAAGCAGTGGCTACGGATGCGTTCCTCCAGACATGGCCGAGGAAGAGACTCTATGCATTCCCACCGTTCGCTCTGCCAGCACGAACACTGGTCCATCTCGGCCGCTCGCAGACGACTTTAGTGTTAATAACACCATTCTGGACGACACAACCATGGTTCCCTTCCCTCATGGAGATGTCTATAGACCTCCCCAGAATGCTACCGGCGGACCCTCATCTCTTGGCGGATCCGGAAGGGAACTCACACCCGTTATTGCTGCAAGGGCAACTCAGGCTACTAGCGTGACTCCTTTCAGGGGACCCTGGGTCGTACCGGAGGTTCTACGGACGACGCTGGAACTACTGGAGGGGGCCTGGGCACCAGGAACTCGGAGTTCCTACAGACGGGCATGGAGTGGTTGGTGCATGGTAGCCCGTATGTGCCCCTTTAAACAGCATTCTAAGTTTCTTGACATGGTTGTTCGAGCAAGGTCTAGCCTACCGGACTATTAACAGCTATAGGTCAGCGATTTCGGCCGGACATCACGGGCTAGACGGTGCACCGATAGGGAGACACACAATGGTGTGCAGACTCCTACGTGGTGTTCGTTTTGCAAGACCCCCACGACCCAGGTATACATCAACGTGGGATGTAAACTTAGTCCTGAATTTGTTGGAGCAATGGCCACAGAACTCCGACCTTACGCTGAAACAGTTATCAGCGAAACTAGCAATGCTCTTCTGCTTGATATCATGTAAAAGGGTATCCGAGGTGCGAGCATTGGATGTGGATGCACGTTCGTTCAATCCATCGGGAGTGACGTTTAACATTTCCAGACGTACAAAAACTGCGATTTTGACGGTATCCTATCCAGCGTTCCCTCACAATGTAAATCTATGCCCTATAGTTTGTCTCAAAGAGTATGAGGAACAAACACAGGCATTACGAGACCCTAATAGACATGAACTATTTATAGCCATCAAGGCACCACATCACCCAGTATCGTCGGTTACGATAGCTCGATGGGTGAAATGGGTAATGCCCTTCGCAAATATTGATACCTCCATGTACAAGGCACATTCCACTAGGGGGGCTACTGCGACCAAAGCATTTACGTTAGACTGTAGATTGGAAGATCTTTTACGTACAGTGGATTGGTCACGGGAGTCCACTTTTAAAGAATATTATTTTAGCCCTACAGAACACGTCACGTCTTCAGTCATTGCTCAGGTTTAAACTAGCACAATATGAGCCTCCGTGTCCTTTAATAAAATTACCAGATTTTACTGATTTCATGACGTAAAGTCATGATTTTATAAAGGACACGGAGGCGAGTATTGGCCCACCCGAGAAGGATCGCGGTGATGACATGGTAAGTACCGCGAAGTTGGTATTAGATAAAAGATGAGATCCGAACTCCCACCCAGTAAGTTGAATTGATAAGAATTATAGTGAGGTTGGTATGATGTTTAGAGCATGATAAGTTTCAGACATGTGACATAAGGCAGTCTACAGCAGGTAAGGTAGTCTGTAGAGGTTGTCAGGTATAATAAGGACTATTGGTGGAGTATGTAACATACAGTCGCTAGACCACACGTTACCATATTTCTTTTCTCTCCCGTTTCAGCTTAACGACTTCAAGTCGACGACATGGATGATTGGTTATCGTCTCCGTTCAGTTGGTTAATGTTTGCTATGGAGAAGATAACGAAGCACCGATTATGGGTCAAGTCATCTCGCAAGGTTCTACAGTTCGGCTTCAGCAGGATCAAAGAAAGAGGGAGAGGAAAGGTCACATGGGTGGTTATGGATAGAAGGACTGTTCCTATTGGTTAAGGATAACAGACTATGTTAACCCTTTGAGTACGCAGTTTAGTTTGGTTTCTTTAATGTTTATAAATTTTTTCTTTGCTGCTGAGGTATAATAAAGAAAGAGAAAGCACAATACTCGCCTCCGTGTCCTTTATAAAATCATGATTTTACGTCATGAAATTAGTAAAATCTGGTAATTTCATTTTCAATCAGATGTTTTTATCTCCTGCTCGGTAAATTAAACTTTAATCACATGCAGAAGGCTCCTGCAGTGGCTAGCAGGAAATCTGAAATTCTTCATTAAACTGACTGTGCAATAAAGGAAGTTTAATCGTAGTTACACACGCTGAAAAGAGACTTGCCACCTTTTTCACATCTGTTTCTGCTGTCCAAAAAAGGCAAAAAAAAGTTTGTTTTTCCAATTTTGCAACAAACTAGGAATATCTTCCTTCTCAACCCCAGAATGGCAGTCTGATCTCTCCTTAGATCCAGAAGCTGTTACCCCACTAATTAAAAGTTATATCCATGAATGTTAGGTTTTTGTAATTATTCATCCATTTGGTGTTTAAACATCTGTACGAACTCTGATAAAACCTCCTCTTCAGGCAGAGAATTCTACATCCTGTTCTTACATTAAAAAAAAAACACTTTCCTGTGCCTTTGCTAAATCCCATCTTCCCTCCCTCGCACCCCCCACTAGTTTAAAATCTCCTCCAATCTTCTAGACATCCTGTCCCCAAGCACAGCAGACACTCTTCTATTTAGGTCCAATCCATTACGGCTATAAAGATTGTACCCAAGCGCAAAACCAGCCCAATGCTCTAAGAAGCAAAAACCCTCCTTCCTACACCATGAATTTAGCCACGCATTAGCCTCCCTAATCTCCTGCTGCCTTTCTACTGTAGTGTGGCACAGGTAATATTGCTGAAAATGCCACCTTGGAGGTCCTTTTCTTCAGTTTGCATCCTAGCTCCCTGAACTCATTCTTTAGGACCTTACATTTTCCAGTGACTTTGTCATTGGTACGAATATGGACCATGACGGCCTGGTCATTCCCAGCCCCTCCCAATAATCCATCCACACTGTCAGCAACGTGCCGCACCCGGCACCCATAAGACAGACTGGTTGAGATGATCAGAGCAGCAGATTATTATCTCCTCTCTTAATCATAGAGTCAACTATCACCACAACCTGTCTAGCCTTCCTTACCTTCTCAGTTCTTCCCGTTCTAGAGAGGGGCTCTTGCCTCGGCTGGTAGAAGGAACAGTTTCATCCAGTACAGCTCCTCTCGAGCTGATGCTCCCAACATCTTCACTCAAACGGGCAAATCGGTTAGGCTGCACAAAGTCAGGACTAGCTAAACCTTTTCTTCCCCCAACCCCCTTTCTACCACGTGTAACTGTCACCCAAACACCTGCCTGTTCCCCAGCTGTCTTATATTCTCCACACTTCACCAACTGCCTCCACTAAACTCTGCTCAATAAGAAGCAGACTCCTCTCAATCGTGTTGATCTCCTCAAGTGTTGCAATTTGCTTCTCCAGATGTCCAATCTGAGCTGCCAGAGAAGCAACTCACACTTATCACAGAGATATGTTTCCTGGACGGATTCATCCAAGCATGCATACATGTAGCAAGATGTGCAATGAGTCAAACCTTCAATCTTGCCAACACTAATTTCCCCAGATAGAAAAAAACAAGTATGCAGGACTACTCTATACATAATAAATACCTTGTGTGTTTAAACTCGTACTTAAAAATAGCCCATTTAAAAGAAACTACATTTAAGAAACTGCAAGTGAGAAAGCTCACTAGGGCTGCATAAACAAAGTGATTTAACTCCTAAATAGCAAATAATTCAGTAGTGAAACTATGGGGGCATGATCTATACAACAAAACGCCTTCATAATGCTAAAGTTGTTTTGGTGCTTTTTTTTTTTTTTTTAATCAATCTTTGTTTTATTGAGATGATAGCATGAAACACACAAGGATCAAAATGACATCAGAGTTTGACAGCTTAATACAAATATGTGATCCACAATTCCAGTCATAGACTTTGCTGAATGACAATAACATCATTTTTTTTTTTTTTTTTTTAAGAAATAGTGTAGTGGAGAGCTAGTTATAGCAGCAGGACTTTTTCTCTGCTGGTTACTCCAACAGCTACTCAGGAACATGCAGGATACTTCAAGAAGGCGGGCATAAGCATATAATCATGAATATCCCATCACCCTTCCCAATAACTGGACAACACTCAGTATTAGGAGCAGAACTGAACTTTTAATGGCCAGGCTGGCCTTTTATGCAGGTTTTTAACCAAAAGGTTACCACCCAGGTGGACCTTGTTGGGCACAGGTAAAAACAGTACACAACCAAAAAATACAAAGGCAGGTAATGAGTCACTCCCATACATTTCACACAATCCCTCCCCTCTGTTGGGAGATAATTGAGTTAATTACTGTATCAATTCAATTATCTCCAAAGCGAAAAAATAAAAATTTTCATACATTTCCAGAAGTACCCCAAAAACCTATCCTGCTCCCACAATTCAGATATCCCCTGATAGCCCCGATCTGAGGGAGCATCATACTGAAAAATCACCCAGATTGGTTCAGGGGTTAGACAATTTTATGGAGGTCTTAGTTTTACCAACGGCACACAAGGTGTAAGCCGAAAATAGTTCCATGTGTTTGGGCTGTGTGGTCGGTCTACGTTCGAGAGTTTGAAATCCAGGAAATTGTATATAAACCTGGTTCGTGCCTTGGTTCGTTGGAACCATCCTGTTTGTGTGATTCTTTTCACTGAATGCCGCTCTGTTTCCTTGTGTTTACACGAACTTGCACGAAGATGGAAGTCTCTGCGGTGTTCATGCTGTTGAGTGTTCGATTTGAGTTCCAGATACTGGACGAGCAAACCCTGCTGGTCCAGTTCGTATTCTAAGATGGCCGCCGCCACGTGTTCGCATATACGAACAGCGGCTACCTAGGGAATCACCCAGTTTGTTCGCGCATTTGTGGTTAGCAAGTGTGAACAAGGTTAGGAAGATCAATTGGTGCCACGCTCCTCTCATGGGTGGCCTGGTTGTTCGGTACTTGGTTCGTTTGTCGAACCATATAGGGAGATTTAGCTGAAAAGGGGGTTCTTAACGAACAACCAGACAAAACAATACAATATATTCGTTTACTTGTTTCCCCAAGTAACAAAAAGTAGCAATCAAAGAAAAATAAAGGACAAAGTGGTATGGACAGTCCCTAGTAAAAATAGGGGTACTGTGGCAAAGCCCATACCGCTACAAATAGGTTGCTATGAATTATTAATGCTGCATACATGCTAGGTTATCACAAGTTAGTGTAATACTAGATACTTAACTAACATGCTGAGTATACCACTGGTACTTATTGTAGTGTTTAAAACTCTGAATGCACCAAAAGAATATCACAGAAATGTAAAATAAATGTACAAATGTAGTAAGTGATTTTTCAACCAGGACTCCTATAAGGTAGCACATGTGTTACAAGGTTGCAAACCAAACACAATCAGCCAATGCCTAAACTTGATAGAGTAACCTAAGGAGCATGTAGGCTGCAGAGGGTAACGGAGTGATGCAGGAGGGATGAGGTCCTCCTCCAGCCCCGGGCCTGTGTAGAGGGCAGCATCTGTAGACCACAGACTTGAAGGCTTTGTGAGTATGAAACTTCCCCATCGGGCGCAGCGGGAGACACAGGTGTTCCTTCGCCGCTAGCGGCAGTGCGGTCTTCCTGCGGGGTGATCGATGCTTTGGAGGCAGCCTCTTCAGGACCCTCGACCCAGGTAGGCATACAGCATAGGTAGCAAGTGCAGGAGTAGGGGTTTTGCCCGAAAGAGGCCGTCTCAGTCCTAAATACCCGCCCCTCTTCATCTCCCTTTATACTTGAGTTGTTTTTGGATTATTTCGCTTCTCCAGCATTGCCCAGAAGTGCTGAAAGATCTTGTCTATTCGCTCGACTGAGCGCTTCACCATATTACAGCAGTTGATGGAGGCCCGACCGCCATTTTATTCAGATCACCGTCTCCAATGCCTGAACTGCGGTGTGGTACTAGAACCAGCAGAGGCACGTGTGTCAAGCCAGTGGGGACCGGGATAACCCCCAACGGTCCAAAGGGGGGAGAACTGGGCCAGGAAGATGATCCATCAAAGAGCTGCCCTAGGCTATCGGTAAGTAGGTAATGCGGCAGCCGTCTACCTCACCCCCCACTTGAGTAGGCCACAAGCTCCGGATGCTCAGTTACCCAGCAGGGCTTCACAACGTCCAGACCAGGTTTCTGCAGGCTTAGCAGTAAGTACTTAAATTACAGCTGCCAGTTTTTAGACACAAAAGGGATCAAGTTTTGCATATTTGGAGATTAATAAGTAAGATCTGGCAGGAGTTCTTCTGACATGCGACCTGCCACCATGTGGGTCCAGCCCTGCTCCCATTGTTTTGGTGCTTATAGTGTTCCTTTAAAGTGTTGTGTCACTATATCGGTGTTTAATGCTAATTTTGGGCACGGAATGTAATTACATAGGTGAATTAGTATGGGTTATATGTGTGCTGCACATTAACTATTGCATATAGTTATGGTAAATTAGTGCCACTTTTTTCTTTAACAAGAGAATGTTTGTTTTACTGGAGAGATGTGACTAAAAAAAAGATTGACAAGAAAAAAGTTAAATTATAAGTGGTTTAGCAGATTTGTTGGTGTTTTTTCTAATAGTGTCTCTTTTAACATTAGGAATATATTGTTGTGAAGAACTTAAGTAATCATGTTGCATGCAAGAGGCCCCATGACTCAGAAGGGTTTTGTAGGTCCCTGAGCCCAAACACAGACCAGAAGATCTTGGAATTGACCAATAAAATCATCGAGCTGCTGACTGGAGAGGTGATGCTGCTTTTAATAAGACATTATACAGTAAAAGCAATGAATGTATCTGTGTAGTAATTGTATCATTGTGTAACAGATTCCTATAAGATGTGACGGTATTACTCTGAGTTCCTCCATGGAAAACTGGGAAAATTTAGGAGGACACCAGGATCTTGACAAGAATGCAGTAATGGAAAAAGTGCGACCATTAAGATCAATGGGTAAGAAAAGGTTTGATTTTTGGATATATAATAGGATTGTGTAATAAGTAGCCGATGGGAGAAGAATTACTTTTTACATGAAACAGCAGATGGTTGACCATGCCTGTGTATACAAATACAAAGATATGTATGTCTGTTACTTAAAGGCGTTATCATCATAATCTCTACATGTCAGTGTACTGGTTATGGTGCTAATAGGTTGGCCAAAGTCTGGGGGTTCCCAAGCCACTCATGGTACAGCCCACTGCTCTTTACTGGTAATTCAGAAGTTCCATTAACACATTACCAATATTTAGATGGCCTTATTTACTCAATGGGTCAGCTGACTCACACTGTCAATCAGTGTTGTCTAAATATCGCTTAAATTGCGACTGTTGATGTGGGACACCCAGACTTAGCATTGGGGGGGAGGTAGCCAAAGCACCCCTGCATTTGGTCGGTTCACTATAAAACAGTCTGCCCCAAAACTGGGGAATGGTTCTGCAACCCAATGGTACCATAACCTCTATATTAACATGATTGTGGTACTTAGCACTATTCTTCAGGTATTTTTACATTAGCAAAGAGGTTGTCTAACAAAAGTCTATGTCCTTCCCACAGATAACTCTGAGGCAAAAAGTACATTAGAAGATTTTCACATCAATTGTACTTCATTAGATTACACAAACAAAGAGAAGCCAAGGAAAGCTATTCAAACTTTGACTGATGAACCAGCCTCATGTGAAGATGTCACAGAATTGTCTGAACCCACAGAACATCCACAGACAGAATATCCATCTACTTGTATTAAGGAGGAACCAACCTCCAATAAAGAAGGAAATCTTCCAGACATATGTACACCCACTGATTATCCATCCATTCATATTAAGGAGGACACAGCCTCATGTGAAGAAGAAATTCTCACAGACTTTTATACATCGGCAGAACATCCACAGACAGAAAATCCATCTACTTATATTAAGGAGGAACCAGTCACGTCTGAAGAAGGAAATCTTACAGACCTTTATAGACCCACAGAATATCCATCTACTCGTATTAAAAAGGAACCAGCCTCATGTGAAGAAGAAAATCTTACAGATATTTATATACCATCAGAACATTTCCAAAGATGTTACACATCATTTCTTATTAAAGAAGAATGCACTTCATGCGAAGAAGGCACAGTTACAAATATTGAAACTTGTGGAACTGCAGTGCGTGTAGAGACTGAATATGCATCTATATGTAATGATGAAGAATCAACATCTCAGGTGACTGACCATATAGACACAATGTATAACTGTGCCAAGTGTCTAGAGACTTTCACAAGTAGAGTTGGGTTTATCGAACATCAAAAAGTTCACAAAATGGCCATCTTGTCATGTTCTGAATGTGGGGAACAGTTCTGTAATGAGTCAGAACTAACTTCTCATCAACAGATTCACACAGGAGATTCCTCGTTTATATGTTCTTACTGTGGAAAATATTTTACTAAGAATTCGCACCTTTCTGCTCATCAAAGAATTCATACAGGTGAAAAGCTGTTTGTCTGTTCCTATTGTGGGAAGTTTTTTACGAAAAATTCCCATCTGGTTCGACATTGTAGAATTCACACAGGAGAGAAACCATTTTCATGTTCTCAGTGTGGCAAATGCTTCAATAGAAAAACTAATCTTGTTACACATGAGAGAATTCACACGGGAGAAAAGAGATTTGTGTGCTCGGAGTGCGGCAAACGGTTTTATTATAATGCAGACCTTAGTCGTCATCAGAGAACTCACACTGGCGATAAACCATTTGAATGTTCGCAATGTGGGAAATGTTTTACAAAAAAACTCCATCTTGCCTCCCATCAAAGAAATCACTCTGGAGAGAAGTTGTATGATTGCTCTAATTGTGGGAGATCCTTCTCGAATAATTCACATCTTCTCCAGCACCAAAGAATGCACACAGGAGAAAAGCCATTTCCGTGTTCTGAATGCGGAAAATCATTCATTAACAAAGCAAACCTTGCAGCCCATCAAAAAATCCACAGCAGCAGCAGGTCTGTTATTTGCTCGGAATGTGGTAAATGTTTTCGTTGTAATGCAGATCTTCACAAACACCAGAGGATCCACTCAGGAGACAAGCCCTTTGTTTGTGCTTACTGTGGAAAATGTTTTACCAAAAAATCGCATCTTGTTACCCATCAGCGTATTCACACTGGGGAAAAGCCATTTTCGTGTTCAGAATGCGGCAAAGGTTTTACGAGCAAAGCAAATCTTATCACGCATCAGAGAATTCACACTGGAGAGAAGCCATTCTCCTGCTCAGAATGTGGTAAAAGTTTTGGAGGAAAGAGTGATTTAAATCGACACAAGAGAATTCACACTGGGGAGAAGCCCTTCACATGCTCTGAGTGCGGGAAATGTTTTGGACACAAAAGCAATCTGAATAATCATGTTCGCATTCACATAGTTGAGAGGACATTGGCATTACAGAAAATGGTGTAAAGATTTAGACTTTTCTAAACCCCTGGATGAGATCATATTCCTTTATGTAATAGAACTTACTCAGTTATGTTAACTTTATTTTGTATTGCTTTCTTCTTTTAATAAATATTATGTAACTAATTCTACTAGTCCAGCATCAAGTTTAAACCGTATGTGCACAAGTCGTAGTGTGCCTGATTATCAAAAAGCAGACTTGTTCAACTAAAGAGTGGTTTTTGCAATGTTTCCAACCACAGTGGGGGGTTGATATATTGCTAGGTTAACTCTTTGATGAAATAAATCTCCTTTTACGAACAATTATGGTGTTGTTTATTTCAAGGTGTAGACACAACCTGGGATACTGAACAGAGACTGAACAGAGACATAGTTGAAACCTCTACCCCTACCTTCCTGTTTTGCACATGGTGTCGTAATTACCACGGCTGCCCCATTTCTTCAAAACTGATGAGCTCAACCAATCCAATGCATTGGGAGGCTAGTGTACATGCACTGCAATATAATTATCAGCATCACCTTATAAAGAAGCATGGACTCATTGCATCCCTATGGGGAGTGTTCAGAGTCTCCATTGAGAAATCAAACATCTGTCCTGCAATCTTTGCAGGACCTCAATCAGAAAATCCTCCTATTGACTGGCTGAGTGACAACCACAAGAAGTTCTTTTCACAAATGACAGTGTTTACATTAGTGAGCATGCAGGGACAGGCTTTTTGTTCCAGATCTATTAAAGTGGGAGTGAAGCTGTGGATGGGGATATTTATCATAGAGGAAGCAGCGGATTTGTATAGAGATGGTGTATCCAGGAGGAAGGAAGCAGACAAGGATTAAGATGGTTCATGGAGGAGGGATGCAGCGGATGGAGACATTATAAAAAGATACAAGAAAACAAGTTGTGCATAGAAAAAAACAAGGTATAATGAACATATATAAAAACAACAGGTAAAGCATGATGAAATAAGTCGTCTTAATGTTCTTTTAATGATTTCAAATCTTATATGGTGGAATAGGTTTTCTTTTCTTTTTTTATCAATTTATTTTTTTAATTTATTCTTTTGTCACATCACAACATCAGACAGACAAATTTAAACATTCAAAAAAATGTCATTAAAATAAGTTTGTATACGGCAGTAAATACCATACAATACAATGCAGCATTATCTAAGATTAACTCTGTTTATTTCTCAGACATTTGTAGAGGAGTATTTCATGTTTTGGCCTCTCTGGTCATCTGCTTTATGTTAAAAACTCCTCTATTTACTACAATATTTTACTCAATAAAACACATAACTATTCCCATGCCGTCGGGAGTACTGGGGGACCCTTCATTTCACTCTTAGTTTTCCACAAATGTTTTTTGTTTTTTGGTATATGGATGAGACTCCCTCATAGGGGTTATCTCATCTGTTCCCTCAGGATCTGCCTGACGTTCTCTTTACATTTTCCCCAACCAAAAGGCATTATGTACCTTCTTTGGGTCTCTTCCATGTATCCTATCCAGCTGACTTTCCATTCCAAGTTGGAACTTAACTTGAATTATTACCCTATCTAGGGCAAATAGGGAAGAACTCTTCCAATTGCGTGCTATAATCATCTTAACCGCTATCATAAAATGAGTATAAATTACCTTATCTTTTTGTAAAAGAGGGTCAATGTTAAGATGTAATAAAACATTTTCTGGTAATTTTGGAATAGACACACAAAGCATTCTCTCTAGGTAATTGAATATTTCATACCACAATTTTGCTACAATCTCACATTCCCACCAAATATGCAAGAATGAACCCAGGTACTTCTTACATCTCCAACATATTGGTGAACCTGAGCTATACATTTTAGCCATTCTTGTGGGCGTGAGATACCATCTGTTGATGACTTTAAACAAGGTTTCCAATATGTTCAGACAATGAATAGTTTCACAAGCTCGGGGCATTATTACGCACCACTTTTCCTTATCTATTGTAATATTTAGATCTTTCTCCCATTTTTGCTTTGCGATGATAACCTGAGGAGCCTCCAATTTCATTATAGCACTCATTGCCTTGGAAGAGACCCTGTCTACCTTTTTGTGATTAAGAAGTGCACAAATCAATTTAGTTCCTACTAGGGGGTGTCTTATAGTATTTTGAGTTAAATAGTTTTTCACTCTCAAATATGTAAATAATTCCTTATTTGATAGTTGGAATTCTTGCGTTAATTGTGAGAAGGTTTTAATTTTTGTATAGATATTCTATTTGAGTTATCCCTCTTTGGACCCAGCTTCTAATGTTTAAATCCTTAATATAGTATGGAAGTAGTTCCAATTTAAGATTAGTTGAAATATTGTTCTCCAAATTAGCTTTTCTTCTTATTACTTTCCAAATATCCAATATGGAGTCTATACATAAGTTAGAATGTCCAATAATACGCAATTTCGGATCTGCATATCTATACCAAAAAATTGAACTCAAATCTCTTACTTGACACCTCTCACTTTCCAAAATATACCATCCCTCCCTTTTTACACTATCCAATTGGGTTCTATATATATGGAAAAATTCATTGGCAAGATAAATACCCTCTATACCTGGAAAACCCAGGCCTCCGTCTTTTATTTTTTGAGCCAAGAGCCCTTTGCTAATTCTCGGTCTTTTATTCTTCCAGATGAAATTATTAATCATTCTTTGAATCATATTCAACCAAGGTTTAGGAATTTTTAACGGAATCATCCGAAACATATAGGCCCATTTGGGTAAAAGTTAGGCTTTTATAAGGTTCATTCTTCCCCACCATGTGATTTCAATTTTTTTCCATTTATTCAATGCATTCCTCATGTTTCTAAAACAGCTTAAAAAATTAACCTGCACTAGATCAGAAACTTTCTTTGTCAACAATATTCCCAAATATGGAATACTAATACTGGCCCAATTAAATTTATAATTATCCTTTATATTATTTCTGCTTACTGTATCCAAATTAATATCTAGAATTATAGATTTATTTTCATTTAATTTATAATTTGAAGCTTCACTAAACTTCTTAACTACTTCCATAAATGCAGCAATAGATGTAGTTGGCTTAGTTAGGGTTAATATCAAATCATCTGCATATAGTTTTAATTTCAGCTCTCTTTGATTCGTTGTAATTCCGCTTATTAGATTATTTGTTCTTATATTTATCGCCAAAATCTCCATAGTTATAATATATAAAATTGGAGACAGCGGACATCCTTGTCTTGTCCCATTGTGGAGATTAAACCAATCAGCACATATATTAGGTCCTACTGTCCTAGCCGAAGGACCAAGATATAAGGACATTATAGCTCTATGGATCCAACCCTGATAACCAAATTTCAGCAAAGACTTACTCATAAATTCCCAGTCAACCCTATCAAAAGCCCTTTCTGCGTCAACTGTTAAAATTGTCATAGGTATTTCTGTTCTATTCGCTAAATCTATAATGTCTATTATGCACCTTGTATTATCTGAAGAAATTCTTCCCGGAACAAACCCTATTTGATCAGGGTCGATTATATTGTTTAAAGTGGGTTTTAATCTATTTGCTATTATTGCAGAAAAAATCTTTACATCGGTATTTATAAGAGAAATTGGCCTATAGTTTTCCACTTCCCCCTGGTCTTTATTCTGCTTTGGAATTGGTAATATGTTTGCTCTCAACATTTCCTTTGGAAATTGTCCTCTATCTACAATATTATTGAATAGATCTACCAGTTGTTTTATAAGTAAATCTCCAAAGGCTTTATAAAATAAGTTTGAAAATCTGTCTGGGCCAGGGGTCTTGTTATTCTCCAGTTTTTTAATAACTTCTTCCACCTCTTGAGCCGTTATTAGAGTATTAAGACTTGTTTTTTGCTCCTCTGATATTACTGGAGTATTAATACCCTCTAGATATTTATCTATCTCCTTATCCTGGGTTGAAAGGGAATATAATTCACTGTAATATAAGTTAAAACATTGACCAATGGATTTGGGGGAAATATATGTCTCTTCATTCCTCTTTATTCTAGTGTTTTTTTTGGAGGCAGTTTTTTCTCTCAACTTCTTAGTTAAAAGTTTATCTGCTCTGTTACCTGTACTGTATTCTTTCAACTTCAATTTCCCCATTATCTTTGTATTTTTCTCAATTTTTATTTGGTTAATTTGATTTTGGATCTCAACGATAACCTCCGAGTTCTCTCTAGAAGGAGTTTTTTTATTCTCTTTAGATTTTTCTTCTAATTTATCAAGTAAGGGAATTAGTTCTTCTCTCTTAGATTTTTTAGAGTACGCTTCCATACTTATTAAGCTGCCTCTTATTGTAGCTTTAAAGGTACACCAGTTATTGGAATGTGTAGTTTCATTAGGTTTATTATCTTTAAAGAATCTATCTATCTGGGTTCTAAGAACCTCTTGATTTTTTTTATTATGTAGTATATAATCGTTTATTCTCCATGTCGTTCTATTTTTAATGTTCCACTGGTCTTTCATAGTCCATATATTAATACTATGATCCGACCATGTATTATTCCTGATGTCAATTTTCTCTAAATTTTCTAAAGCATTCATATCCCCCCAAATCATATCAATACGTGAATATGAATAATGGACTCTAGAGAAAAAAGTATAATCCAGTTTCTCTGGGTAAGAAGATCTCCATAAATCAAAAAAAATCGAACTCGTTTTTTATATTTCTAAGGCTTTTTGCCATTTTAGCTACTGAGCTGTTCACTGAGGTCTAAATGCTAAGTTTCTTATCTAAAACTGGATCCAACACACAATTGAAGTCTCCTGCAATCAAACATACTCCAGTCTTAATCATTTCCACTTGTTCCAAAATCTTTCTTAAAGTAACCACAGGGAAAGAATTTGGCAGGTATATATTGACTAGAGTATATTTAATTTCATTTATTTTACAAATAACAATTAAAAATCTACCTTCACTATCCGCATATTGATATATTAGTTCGAATTTCACCGTATTTGCCACCAATATAGCAACCCCCCTTTTTTTACAATCGTTGAGCGAAGCCTGGAACAAGTGTGGGAATCTTTCTCCTCCCCATTTTACCTTATCGATCAGTCTCCAATGTGTCTCTTGCAGGAAACCAATCTCTATCTTTTGATTAACCATAGAGTCGTATACTAATGCTCTTTTAGAGTGAGAGTTCAGGCCCTGAGTGTTAGCTGATAACATTTTAACCATTTTCCCCGCAAAAACCTCCCAGTATCCCCGACGGCATGTTCAACCACAACAATAACACAACACATATATTAAAACATTCATACCCTTCCTTTCTGGTTATAAACCAGATAAGAAAAAATGGCCTCTCATCCATCAAAAATGGGAGAGCCATTTTCTCGATATGCGAGAAACGCATTCTCGCCATATCGGTTATTGTGTCTCAACCACGGACACATGGCTGGGAAAAGAAATTATCCTTGAGGAGGAGGTGCCTATTTCTATTATAGACCTGAGTGGTGGAATAGGTTTTCAAAGGTGCATATGTAGATAAAAGGAGAAACAACGAAGATACTGATAGTGTAGTATGTAACACAAAGAATAACATAAAACATAAAGTGCATAAGTGCCCACTCACATTTACTAGAGCTATCATAAAAGCTCCAGTAGTGGTACAATACCCTCTAGTAGATATGGATAAAAGTATGATTTCTCCCATGGGTCACAGGGAAATATGTAAAGACAAAACCGATCAATAGTGCAGTATTGTTTATGTAAAGTGACTAAAGTACTAAAAATAGGAATTGCACTCACAAGTGTAGAACTTTTACTAAAGTTCAGACTTGCAGGAATAAGGCTGTAGTGCAGTACTGAGGAGAATGGGAAGGATGGCAAATGGGAGAGAGAATCACCAAACTGGTATAGGCACAGCACATGGAGAGCGAAGCAGCAGAGTGGGATAGAGACTATGCAATGGGTAGGGAAGCAGCGGATGGGGATATGGACAGCGCAAGAGGGAGGGAAGAAGTGGACGTGAATAGAGAGGCATATTGGGAGGAAGTTGAGGTTAGAGATGGCACATCGGGAAGGGAAGTAGTGGGTATGGAGACAACATATAGGAGAGTGAAGCAGCAGAAAGGGATAGAGATGGTGTGTCAGAGAGGGAAGAAGAGAACAAGGATAGCAGTAGATAAGGATAAAGATGGCGTATCAGGGAAAAAAAACTGTGGATGGGGATGATGCATCTTACATTGTGTGAATGTAATGATACAGTAACAGGTGTGCAAATTGACATGGACAAAAAAGTGGATGAGGACATGAACAGTAGCAATGTAGCATGTGACTTGGGTTACAATTTGATGATATATAGAATCATGATATAATACTCTGTACATCGGGGGGGGCAGAGCCAGCTGTGAACTGGAGTAGACTCACTCCACAGGAGCTCTGTGTAAAAGTGTCTGACTGTTTTACGGTGATATTTGGTGCCTACCTGATCTGTCAACATCCCCTGAGAAGGCTGACACACTATGGGATGAAAGAATAAGAAACCCAGAGGGGACAAAGGTTCCCCAGGTTGAGATATCGTCAATTTGTTCTGCAACTCCCAGAAGGTCACCTGGGGCAACATGGTGCTTCTTGAGGAAGACTGTTCATAGTTATCTGAATACTTCCTGGTGCACCCTGGTGAAGGAGCATTCTACACCCAACAACCAGGATAAAAACTACCTATAGTGGAGGACCGATACCTGGTCACCACGACAGTGCTCAAGACCATGCTGGCTGAGCTTCGCTTGAATATTGCAACTAACATGGCCTTCTTTAAAAAAAAAAAAAAAAAACTGTGGAGGGCCCATCTGTAAAAATCGCCCAGTTGGAGGCCTTGCATGGCATGCAAGACACCAGGCTCACCACTGTGGAACGCAAGCTGGAAAAGTTCCAACAGCATCAGCTGTGTAATGAGCATAGAATGGATGCTCTGGAAGAGCACATACACAGATGTAATCTAAAGATCAGGAGCCTTCCTTAGACTTTGGGACTCACCAATTTGCCCCATTTCATTCAGAGGCTCATTGCGGTCCATCTACCATTAAAACAAGCCAAGGCTATAAAATTAGATGGCATGTTCCGCTTACCCAAGCCAAGGCAGGGTGTCACCTTCTGCCACTCCAGACCTCATCATCCATTTCCAATCCTTGCAAGACAAAGCACAATTTCAAGCAGCTGTCAGGGGCAAATAGTCCATCATGTTTGAAGGCTCTTCCCCGACCTCACAGGGAGCACTATTGACTGGCATCGGACCCTGCAATCTCTTGTATCACTCCTGAGAAAAAGAGACATCCCCTACCGATGGGCGCTACCAAGGGCCCTTCTCATCATGGCCCAAGGGACTATCTTTAGAGCCGAATCATGAGCCCTGCTGGCTCAGCGCGAATCTCGCCAATCCTGCACTCAGACCGCTGCCATAGGGAAAACCCACCGAGCGGCACATACTCTAAGACCCGCAGATACCCCTAGGGGGACCCCGACCCTTTCCATGAAGCATTATTTGGTGATGCAGGCCGACCTAGACTGTCAGGCCTCCAACAACTCCACGGCCTCGGGCCTGTCAACCGCGCCGTCACCGAGGGGGGAACGGCTGCACACGGAAGGCGGAATGAAGGCACCAGGGGAGTGCCCACCTGATCTACTCTCCCTGCTTAAAGACCTGTCGACGAAAGCCGACCTGACAGCGGCAAATCACGATCTGCGTACCTCTCTCACCTCTGAACTCCGCGCGCTGCAGGAGGATATCCAAGGCCTCAGTCAGAAAGTGGCGCAGCTGGAAGCAGACTGCGACCACATGTCGATGACGCAGACAGCGAACGCTGACCAGATACAGCAACATAACATGATACTGAAGCAATTAGCTCTACATGTCAAAGATCTTGATAACAGGGGCAGAAGACAGAATATACACGTGAGGGGGCTTCCAGAGGAACTAGATAAAATGACAGCAATTCAAACCACACTGCTGGAACTATTTAACAAGCTCCTCTCCAGACCCCCCCCAGACACACATAGGATTTGTTCAAGCTCACAGAGTGCTGAGACCCCAGGGACCCCCAGAGGGACCCCCTAGAGACATTATCTGCTGCCTAAAGAGCTTCCAGCTGAAGGAGGAGATCCGCAGCGGCCAGCGATGATCTGTTTGGGAGCGCGCTGGGTCCCCTAGGCCCCCTTCTGCTGCCTGACATGCAATTTCATTACCCGCATGGCAGGGACTTGCTCTCTGGAGACATGGGACTAAACGCTCCACGGCACACTCATGTAGCAGGTACCGGGGGGGTGGGGGTGGGGGGAGAGCGGTTCCTGACTGAGCAAAGAGCCAGATGGGGAGGACCAGAGAGGTCAAAGATCACACAAAACTCAGGACATGTTGGGGGGCGGGAGGTCCTTGTTATACAACGTTTTGCTATGCATGCTGTGGGCAGTGTGGGAGGGGAGACGTGCTGACTGGGGGGTGCCCCGAGGGACCATAGTGGTCGGCGATGATCGGTCTGGGAGCGCACCTGGTCCCCTGGGCTCTACCCACTCAGGGATTCTTACACTCTGTGGCCTGCTTCATGCACAGATAGGGAATGCCATGCATTAAGCGGGAGAGGAGCAGGGCGATGGGGGGGTTGGGAGCTGCGGGTGGAGTGCATTTTGTTTATGTTCCATAAATGTTCTTTAATCTGTTACAATTTCCTGTTACATTAATGCCATTCCAGGTACTTCTTTTGGCGAGGTTACATGACAGATTGTTTTTTCTCATACAATATTAGGAGCCCTAAGACGGGGGGGCGGAATACCTTGACTGGGGGGAGCCCCGAGGGACCCCGTTGGTCTGAGACGACCTACTAAGGAGCGCACTTGGTCCCCTGGACCCCACCCATTCGGGGATTCTTGGACTCCTTCGACTACCCTGTTGGATTGGGCGACAAGACACAGGTGCACAGTACCCACTAACTCACAGGTGGGGAGAGGGAGTCACTGCACCCTGACGCCCATTCCCAAGCGTTCTTTCTTGCGACGACGCTTTCTACTCACTGCATCACACTTTATTGAGTTCACCCCCCTTATCTTTCCTTCCCATCGCTTCCCTTCCCCCTCATCCCTGAAACCACCTACCGACCTTACTACTATGAACCGCCTGACAGACATGACCATGGATGCTCCCCGAGACGGTAGACCGACCACAAGCCCCTTGACACCGGCCCCCATCACAGTCCTTACAATGAATGCCAGAGGTCTGAGCAAACCGATGAAACGATCTGGAGCCCTCAGGGATTTCCAAGCCCACAAGGCCTCCGTCGTATTCGTCCAGGAGACACATTTCCGGGAGGGGGAGAGACCTAAGCTAACGAATCAGCATTACCCTGTAGGCTACTATAGAGACTTCCAAGGTGGGAAATCCAGGGGAGTGGCGATTCTCCTACACAGACGGCTCCTGTTCGCAGAGATGGGGGTCATGTCGGACCCGGAGGGCCGCTTCTTGTTTCTCAAAGGGAAGATAACAGATAAGACATACACCTTTGCCACTGTTTATGCACCTAACAAGGGACAATATAGGTTTCTGGCCAGGACGCTCCGGGCCCTCAGGCGCTTCGAAGAGGGAGTTATGGTGCTGGGGGGAGACCTGAACGTCGCCTTGGACCCCAGATGGGACTCCTCGCAGGGGCAGTCACGTCTCCCTGCCCAGCACATCACGGCAATCAAGACCCTTGTCACAAAGACCCAGCTGGTAGATTGCTGGAGGGCTTTCCACCCCGATGAGAGGGATTACACATATTACTCCCACCCACACAACTCATACACGCGTATCGACTACCTCTTCGTGTCCCACTACCACCTGCCCCTGGTGCTCGGGGCTGACCAGGGGACCGCGATGTGTTCTGACCACGCGCCAGTGACCATTACACTGCGGTCTCCCCTGTTCAGGCCCAATGTGTCCAAATGGCGGCTAAACGAATCCCTGCTGGCTACACCGGATGTCACAGCAGATATCGCAACAGCACTAAAAGACTACTTTACGGACAATACCCGAGACCAAACCTCCACCGCTGTGCGTTGGGAGGCACATAAAAGCGGGATCCGGACACTTTATACAAAAAAGTGCACACCTCAAAAAACAGAGGGAAGCCCGTAGGCTCCAGCTCATTACTGACATACAACACCTAGACACACTCCATAAACGATCACACCTCCCCACTCACCAGACCACACTCCTCACTCTACGAAGGGAACTAACCACACTCCTCCACACTCAACACCACAGGGCAGCCCTGCGACATAAAGCGTTTTTCTCCATCCACGGAAACAAGAGCGGCAAGCTCCTGGCACGCATGCTTAACAAACGGAGACAGGACACGTACATTGACCGCATGCGAGATACCGGGGGCACCCTACACACCCTCTCAAGATACAGGACATCATACGCACATATAATGCGGACCTGTACTCCCTCCCACGACCACAAACAAGACCAGACGCAAAGACTAGAGGACTCTATAGACGCGTACCTCCGGACCCAAGACCTCCCCTCACTGACGACGGAAACGAGAGACCGGCTGGAAGAGCCGATCACACCCGAGGAGCTGGCACATGCCATTAAACTCACTAAACCTGGCAGGTGCCCAGGCCCAGATGGGCTACCCATCAAATATTATAAGAGTTTCGCAGACACCTTATATCCACCGCTGCTTGACATGTTTAATGACATTAGAGAGGGCCGAGAACTTCCCAAACAAGCGCTCATGGCACACATAACCTTACTACCAAAAGAAGGCAAAGACCGGGAACAGTGTGGGAGCTATCGGCCCATATCCCTCATAAACACTGATCTTAAACTCCTGGCTAAGGTTCTGGCAACTCGGCTCCAGCTGCACATCCCAACCTTGGTACACGCAGACCAGGTGGGGTTTGTGATGGGTCGCGAGGCCAGAGACAACACCATCCGGGCCCTCACACTCATGCACGGACGGACGGGGGATGACAGAGGCCTTCTCCTGCTCTCTACGGACGCGGAGAAGGCCTTTGACAGGGTCTGCTGGGACTATATGTTCCAGACCGTAACACATATGGGAATGGGACCTACCCTACTGGGCTGGATTAAGGCCCTATATGCACAACCGACAGCACAGGTGGTGGTTAACGGGGCACTCACGGAAGAGTTCTCCAACGGAACGCGTCAGGGATGTCCCCTGTCGCCACTACTTTTTATCCTAGCGTTGGAACCCTTTCTGACACACATAAGAGGCCACCCAGACATCACGGGAGTCCAAATGTTAGATACTCACCATAAAATAGCCGCCTACGCGGATGATCTCCTGTTTTTCATAACGCACCCGGAGATCTCCCTACCCAACCTTCTTCGGGCATTCCGGACATTCGAGAAATTATCAGGCCTTAAGATTAACTTTGCTAAATCGTACATTCTGAACATAGATATTCCCACACAGAGGGCGGAGTCAGGTAAAATACGATACCTGGGCACTTGGCTGACAGTCAAGGAATCGGACCTCTACACAACTAACTTCACCCCACTGCTATCCAAATTCCGAACAGAAATGAGGGAATGGGCCCTTCCACACATATCCTGGCTGGGCAGGATACAAGTTGTAAAGATGAACTTCCTGCCCAGATTACTCTTCCTCTTTCAAGCCCTACCTATTATCCTGCAACGGTCCTTCTTCACTTAGCTCCAACGGGCGCTAGGGGAATTCATATGGGATGGGAGGAGACCCAGACTGAAGTACACCGTGCTCACACAACCCAAAGACCGGGGTGGCCTGGCCCTTCCGGACTTCACGCTTTACTATAGGGCTCGCCACCTACAACGCATATTGGAGTGGTCCAAATCAGGGGTCACTAAGCTCTGGAAGACCGCGGAAGAGGCGAGGGCGGGCGTTCCGGCCGCTCTCCTCCTGTGGCTCCCCAGACGCGAATGGAGAAACATTACTCTGTATACACCAGGGCAACATTATGGGTGTGGCGCAGTAACACAGGTGGCCCTCCCGGACTTCACGCTTTACTATAGGGCTTGCCACCTACAACGCATATTGGAGTGGTCCAAATCAGGGGTCACTAAGCTCTGGAAGACCGCGGAAGAGGCGAGGGCGGGCGTTCCGGCCGCTCTCCTCCCGTGGCTCCCCAGACGCGAAGGGGGAATGGAGAAACATTACTCTGTATACACCAGGGCAACATAATGGGTGTGGCGCAGTAACACAGGGAGACACGCACTAACTACACACCCATCACCGCTTCTCCCTCTCACCCATAACGTGGATTTCCCTCCGGGCTTGGAACCGGGGGATGCTGGGGACACAGGGCAGGGACCCGTTACCACGGCTGAGACACGTATGCACCAAGCAGGGACTAAGGGATTGGGCGGACATAAGCAAAGACACGGATCAATCTTTCCACACACGATTTAAATATGAACAATTGCGTAGTTTTGTAAGGACCCTCCCATGGGGAGCGCAACTAGGTAGGGATCTCACAGACTTTGAAACCTTGTGTGCAGATCCCAATCCACTGCCACACTGGGTCTTGTTCCTATACTCCACACTACAGCTGCACACCCCTACGGCACCTCCGAAATTCATGGGAAAATGGGAGGATGCCCTCCACCAGACTTTTAGTTAGACGGAATGGGAAAAGATGTGTCACATTACCTATCACTGCTCAGTCTTTAGTAAAAGCCAAGAGACTGCCTACAAATTACTATCACATTGGTACCGCACACCCGACACGATACACCACATATCCACGCACGGATCCTGTCTGCTGGAGATGTGACATGGCGATTGGCACACCCCTGCACATATGGTGGGAGTGTGAACACCTAAAACCCTACTGGCAAGCCATACACAAAATACTCACTAGACTCACTGACAGTCCACCACCATTGGAACCGGCAGCTATGTTATTGCACCACACAAACACCCCCATCTCCAAATACAAAAAATCACTTACAATCTGGATCCTCAATGTAGCAAAGCAGACTATTCCCCAGTACTGGAAGAAAAGGGAAACTCCACCGCTACAAAGGTGGTTCGACCAAATGGAAGAATTGAGGGCCATAGAGGAACTTACTATGCTGACGGCAGGACCGCAGCAACAGACGTACCTAGACATATGGACACGTTGGATACTGACGACGACCCAGCCCGACTTCCTGACACTCCTGCACGGACAAACGCTTTAAGACGCTTGACTGCCGGACAAATTGACAGCCAACGCACCCTTCCCCCCTCCCTCCTTTGATACCTAAACTTGCCCCCCCCCCCCACTTTCCCTACACTGGCTACCCGAGGAGGAGGGAACTTCGGAGAGGGGGTACAATGTCCCGACCTAATATGAAGGGGCGGACAGGTTAACTCGTTCCGGCACCCCAGAGAGGCCAGAGGGCGAAATCCTGGGGTTAGACGACTCACAGAGAGGCAAAGGAAATGGATAGCATGCAGAGAAGGGCAACAAATACCCATGCTACTAAGATGAAGCCACTTAGAAAACCCGAGCTAGACCAAGAAAGACTGACCCCCGGGCTCACAGACCTAAGACCAAGGAGATGCTCATGACGGGGGAGTAAGGGACCCACATTCTGGGAGGGAGGGTGAGCACAAAACCTGCCAGATGGATGGGGATGGTAGCCGAATTTGTACAAAGTACAGGTGAAATGGCCTCCTGGACAGGGGTAACCACATCGCACAAAGTGGATGGAAACAGTTTGGGCTGAATATTGCCCCCGCCTACAGGCATTGTCGTAGGGAAAGCAGAACGTCGGACCTGCGAGCCCGACAATATATCCCTACAAAGGTCACGGAATGGCCTGCGTGCCATTTATGCGTATTCATATGTTGGTTGTCTCCCCCTTCTTCTCTTCGCCCCTCCCTGTCCCCTCCCCTCCCCTTCGCCTTTTTGCCAAACTGCCAGGGACCTGCGAGTCCCAATTGATGCTAATTGTGCACGATCATGCAGGCACAGCTACACGTTCACCAATTTATGATTCGTTTCTGCGAGCCCGCAACAAGGTTTATACGAATGCTCAAGACATGCTGTTGTGCATGAAAATTCTCAATAAAGAAAATATTTACCACATAAATAAAAATACATATTTACAACTAAATAATACACGTTTCAACTAATCTTCATGCATGTTGTGCACTTGATGCCATATTTCATATGACAAGGGACCTGCGAGTCCATCCACAATGCGGGCCTGCGAGCCCCAATGACGACACTTGTTCTGTTAATCGAGACCTGCGAGTCTCACTGTTCATTAATTGAGACCTGCGAGTCTCACTGTTCATTCTTTCCCTATCTTTGCAAAGCTAATAAAAATTATATTTACAAAAAAAAACAAACAATACCATCAGACAACACGAACATTAGCAATCGTATTTAGTTTGATTAGTGGCAGAAAGTCAAAGTAGCAGGAAAGTTCAGTTCTGTGCTACTGCGAAATATAGTCTGAGCTATTTCAGGTGGAGGAGGTAACACCCTGATCAAGACAATGTAGGATGAAGCATCCAGTAAACATTTATTTTGTTCCATATATAACACAATAAGAAGGTACTTTTACTTGAAATGCAAATTCTACAATAAAGATTATTAATAACATGTATATTCATGTTTTTTCCACAAAACTTTACAATCATAGACTGGATTAATTGACAATAAGAAGTGGACCTACAGAATAATATTGATAGAAAGAAGAGATGGTGAAAGTCCTGCTCAAATGAACTTAAAAGAACGCATGGGTTTCCAACTACACATTAAATATATAATATAGTTAATGTATATACATAATAAACCTTTAAAAGATCTCTTCTTAATTTTCACTTGTTTAGTAGATAACTCTCTTATTTGTTATCCTTATGTGGGATTGCCATATGTAAGGACACCAAATTATCTACTATCTACTAAACACATAACTACAGATATGCATACTGTGGTTGTGTGTATGTCTGTGATTGTGTACGTATGTGACTGTGTGTGTACATCTGTGATGATGTGTGTGTAGGTCTATAATTGTATTTCCATGTGTGTTTGTGATTGTGTGCATGTGTATATAATCACACACACAATCATATACATACACACATAATCACAGACCCACACACATACAATCACATGCCTCTACACCCAATCACATACACACAACCACACATACACAATCACAGACTTACACACACACAAACACAGATCCACACACAATCATAGACCCATACACATACAATCACAGACCTATACATACACAATAACAGATACACACAAACCCACAAAAAAAAGAGTAAGGATGAGGAGAAGGGGAGATGAGGAGAACGTGGGGGGACTGAGAAGAACACAGGGAGGGTGGGTGATGAGGAGAACACAGGGAGGAGAGGGGGTAAGAAGAACACAGGTAGGGGGGAGGTGAGAACACAGGGGGTTAGGAGAACACATGGGGGGAGTGAGAAGAACACATGGAGGGGGGATGAGAAGAGCACAGGGAGGGTGGGTGAGTGTGAGAAGAGACCGCTAGAGGAGGGTGGGGAAGAGCTCTAAGGGACAGAACAGACAGCTCTATAGGACAGGGGGCAAGACAGGGAGCTCTTTCACACTACACGCACACACAATGCATCCCTACACACACACACACACAGAAACACAACATGCTTCCTTTACACACAGAAATACACAATGAATCCATTACACACACAATGCAACCATTACACACAAAGACAATGCATCCTTTGCACACATATACAGAAACACACAATTCAAACCCTTACACACACATGCAAATACACACTGTTTTTCTTACATACACACATTAACACAATGCATCTCTTACACGCACTCAATGCACACACATACAGACACACACCTTGCATCCCTTATGCATACAAACACAGATTCACACAATGCATCCCTTACACACAACCAGAAACACACAATACATCCCTTATACACAAATACACACTGCTTCCACTACACAAAAACACACTGCATCACCTACACAAACTGGTATCCCTATACACTACATTCCATAAGCACACATATTATATCCTCGACAAATCTTCCTCATAGTGGAAAGTAGTGGATTTCTTATTGATCTCCTGTTACTACTGATTCTTCCTAGACATCTCAAAACTGTAAGAGTCTGACACCTACCAGCACAATCTGGACACTGCCACCATCAGAATTTTTTTCCAGTATTCTTGAAGGAAAAGTCTTGGACTTAGAGAACTAAATGGTTGTAGACTGCTCTCCTCTCCATTTTGATAATTGAAAATAAATTTTTCACCTGGTCGATAGTTCCAGGTTTCTCAAAATGATTCATTTTCTTAGATCAATGGTACAATGGCACAAATACTTGTTTAAAATCTTCCTTTATAGCCTCTCGTAACAACTTTCCAAGTAGTACTTCTTCAAGGAAAGGCATGGAACTAAGGTTCTGCTTTGAAGAAATTTTGATCCCCTAAGAAGATGCCCTGAAATCAAGACAAGTACTGCCATATGTGGTTAATTATTCAAGTGTCTGATGATGTAAACATTCCATGAGGGACAATAATTTTTGTTTACCCATACAGGTAAACAAGGATCAGAGACTGAGAAATCCTGACGCCCTAATCTGTTTATCCAATAGGATGCAGCAGTTAGGGATAGTGGTAAGTATTAGTCAAAATAAGATCTATGTTGTTGTCAACAGAATAGCGTCTCATAATGTTATGAGGAAGGATTATTCACAATTCTATCAGTTTATTCTTTTAGTATTGGTGAAGGCTCGTGCAAGGTTAAATAATCATCTATCATGTTTGATTATCCACTGAATGAGCAGAAATTGCGAGAATATCATGACCAAAATGAAAACGTAAGTCAGTACTGAAGTGACCTAATTATTGGGCTTGAAGAACCTGAAATCTTTCCAGAATTTCAGGAAAGGCTTGAAGAGCAAATATCTTTAGTGGACGGCTCTACCAATGATGCAGAGCTGCAACAGCTAAGGGAAATTCTAATGGAATTCCAAGATATCTTTGCTAAAGATTCTTACGACTGTGGGTTAACTAATCTGCATGTCGCCAGAATATAGACGGATCCAAATTTACCACCTGTGTCTATCAAACAGTATAGACTTATATTAGCCTCATATGATGGACTACAGGACATAATTTGGAATTTGAAGGAACAAGGAATTATACGTCCAGTACACAGTTCGTATAATGACCCCATATTTGGAATTCTGACTTGTGTCAGTTAATAAACTTGTCTATATGTCTGGATGGCCTGTGCCATACATAGACCAATGTTTAGTGCAAATTAAGGGATCCAAAATATTTACTGCTATTGATTGTGTGCAGGGATATTGGACTGTTCCAGTCCAGGAGGAAGACCAATACAGATTGGCCATCACTTTTGGTAAAGAGCAGTATACTTTGACCCGTGTGACTTTTGTTTACATAAAATTTGGTC